TTTCCTTTTCGAAATGATGAAAACAAAATATATAGCATGATGTTTAGGATGTAAAGGCTCAGCTTATAGCTTTTAAAGATTTTTTCAGTTCACACAAACGAGAACAGAATGATGTACATGTTTCTGATATTATTACATCACAAAAACACAGTCAAATCAATAACCTCATATTACTCTATTAAAACCATTTGGTAAAAGAGAAATTAATCTTGACGCTCATTAAATGTCTTTATAACAGCCCGAATGATACCATTTTACATGTTTAAAGTGCCTTGTTTATAAACAACTGTGTTTAAGTTGACAATTAGGCGAAGGTCATTAACATGGAAATACAAGAAGTCCTGCAAGACCAACCACAACGATTACACCACTTAGGAGCGGGTTTAAAACAAAACGATATTTCGAGGTTTTGGGGTAATTGATATGTTATCTTCCTATACAGCTTGTTGACCTTTCAGCTCTCTGATAAGGATGGCTTATTGGAAAACCCTGTCGAAGAGGAAACAAACCGTATGCTTTTTGTCACAAAATTGTAAGGTTAATCTATTTCTTTTGATTTCTGCACTTGTTATTGATCTAGTAACTAAAACAAGTAATTTCCAATTGTAGCTATAATTATAGTTGAAATGAAGCCACACGATTACAGAAAGTTCTACGTTCTAATGTACTTTAATGTGGTTTAATCTAAACTGACTGATATAAATGAAATATAGTTAAATTCAGATACATGATATAATAGCTGGGTTGATGTCAATATGCCACGTAATTGAATGTTAGATAAGTAAATATATATCATTATGTGATCAATACTCAGCTGTTAGTTTTATACTGGATTCTTTTAATTAAATCATAACATTCTGACAATTCCTAAACCTAAAAAATATCTAGTAGTATGTTAGCTAATAGCGAATAATGGTAGTTTAAAGATTAGAGCCAAAGACTGTGGATAGATAGTGATTAGAGCCAAAGACAGTGGATATATAGTGATTAGAGCCAAAGACTGTGGATAGATAATGATTAGAGCCACAGACTGTGGATAAATAGTGATTAGAGCCAAAGACTGTGGATAGATAGTGATTAGAGCCAAAGACTGTGGATAGATAGTGATTAGAGACACAGACTGTGGATAGATAGCCAAGTTATCATTACAACAGTGTGAATAATATATATTCTAATCAGCAAAATAGTTTGTTGAGAGCGCATTGGTTTATATCGGTTAGATTCTGATACTCTACAGTGAACTATGGAAAATGGATTGATAATACTTCCAATGTTCAGTATGATATATAAAAAGGGCTTAGGCCGAACTGTGGTCCAAAGCAGCTCGCCTAATTCCCGACCACTCAGGTCTAGGACATAAACTAATTTGGTATTCAAGAGCCTTTTGGCAGCTGATGGCAACTGCGAAATTATGGTCAGTTTCTAGCAATAATTTATGATGCAGCTGCTCTTAGATACCGTCAGTCGCGAGGTAGACTTCTATCGCGGCCATTGTATGACAAATCAAGCTTATCCCTAATTCGACCAGTCCAGAGGTCGACCCCATCCACTTCAACTGTATGACATGAATCTTAATATTTCAGTCAGCGTGTCCATAACAGCTAGTGTGATATTATTACCTAATATGATAACTTATATAATGAAATATAGATAATATAATAAAGAGGTTATTGATGTGAATGGGATGTAAATAGTATTGGATAGAAAGGTTAATAGATATATAGACCCATAGTCTAGACTCTTAAATACTTTATAACAATATCAAATAAACATCAAAATATATCTTTCACCATTGTGATTTATAGAAAACAATTTATTGGAAGTTGATATTTTGACACTTAACCAGAAAATATATTTTGTCATAGAAGATTTCGGTAGTAAAACGATAACCTATATTAAATCCGAAGTGTATCAAACTTTTGTCAGAGGAAACAATGTCTTAAAAGTGAAGATATTGAAAAAGTAATGTTGGTTATTAAACGTTTAGACTGGTGTTTCTTTCAGGACGTTGTTAACAGATTCGCGGGCAGATATTGCTGATATCATGACGTCATTGGTAATATCTATCCGTTTACAAGTCAATAAAAATCTAATTAACGCGTATATGAGGGCAAGAAAATTGGCGTAAAAAAGTAGTACTTTAAACTAACAGAACTTTTTTGGTAACAAAAAGTTATAGATTAGACAAATTGGATACAAAACTTTCCTGTTCTTTAACCGGATGTTTATAACTTTTCAACATTAACATTTATTAGGTGTTGAAACTTTCATATCTGATAGAAAATTAACTGTAATCATTTTATTTAATTTAAGTATATTATACAGAATTAACTTTATTTTACATCAGTCAACGAACCGGTTATAATACGCCATACATGTAAGACTTCAGAAGACATCAAAGTTATGACAATGATTCAACATAACACGGAACTAAGCCAACTTAAGTTATTGAAAATAGTTTAATTTAATCTGGTCACTGAACTAATTTATTAGAAAAAATGTTTTTCTTGGTGCTTCCAAGGCCATTTTGAATACTCTAATACAGGATATATTGCCTTTATTATCGCATTGTTGCAATGTTCATTGGGGTATTGGATAAAACAAGTAGTTGATTAGTTGACTGAAAGATTGTTTATTGAACAAACTGTTTTGAATAGTGAATAAGAGAATCAAATTCACCATTTTTTCTATTCAATATTTTCTATGATCAACCAAAACTTAAATTAATCATTATGATCTGTGAATCAAATTAAATTATATATTTTTCATGTGAATTATTTTCCAAATCCAACGCTCGGTGTTCTCTGTAAATCCTTGAAGAATTATGGACGGTTAAGTCTATAAATAATTCATTGAATCTTATCTTACAATAGGAGATCGAACTGGAGTCTTCAACCGGAACATTTTAATATGATACCCACTATGAAATGTGAATCATTTTTTTGCATTTAAATAGTAACGTTTTATATACGTTTTACATCAAGGGAAGGAATTCTCGGCAATTTTATTTGACCACTGAGGCTAGTTATGAATTTCTTTTATATCCAATTTTAGTTGTAAATTAAGAAAATTGTTAAATCAGAAGACGTCATAAGAGACGGTAACATATAATAAGTCTTCGGAGTACTGTAATTCGGAGCATTGCACGGAGGTACAATGAGTACCTCTCAATATAATAGAATTTCCCACCGACCCTGTGATTAAATCTCTTTGTTGCTGATTCAACCCACTTGCTTCCTTTAATATCTTCTACATGTACCCCGCATCTCTACCCTTTTCTTCTGTCCGTTATAACCGGTTAAGATCAGACCACGGTTCAGATCAGACCGATTGTCTTCTTCGTTCCTCATTCGCTCTCTAACCTTGCTCCACCCACCTTTCTATCCTTCATTCAGTCTTTTACTACTACCATTCCTGTAATTCGGGTCCCTTCTACTCTGTACCCCCTACATCTTCCAACATAACTATTTGTCTGCCCCAGTCTCCTTGTTTCCACTGTCTTCTTCTTTCCTGTTTTTAATTCATGAATTGAATTGATTATTCTTAACTTAAGCCTTATTTTATATGGCTAATGGTTCAATCCAAATCGAACCCTGGTGAATAATATTGTACACTTAACCTTAAGATAATACGTTCTTGTCTATATGACCAGAGCTCATCTCATGCTGCCGACATGTGTCGCAAACAAAACCTCGTGAAGACAGCTTTATTTGAAATGAGGATTAATTTACAGAAATTGAAGTTTGGTTAGAGCCTATAAAATATTTGTGAGATGACACCAAAAGACGTCTTAACCAGATCCAAGCGCGATCAAGAAATGCAGCAATACTCGGATATGGCATTGCAACAACATGGAAGATTCAAACAATCCTACGTGCCAAAGGTGGTTGTTTCCTGAATAATAACTTTTGCATCATTGACATTTAAATAAATAGTTCAATACCTTCTTTACTTTGCCACTTTTCTTTATCTGTTTAATAATAGTATGTGAACTCGTCACACCACGGGCATCTGAGGTCATTAGCTATATTAGAAATAATCTAAGGGACATAATCACATAATATTACTGATAGTTCAGAACACAATAACTTACTTATACATGTACTTTAAAAAGATGATTAATATTGTAATATGCATGTTTGTCCTCATAACCTAATAATATGAACTATTAGAATATTATTTCTTTACCTAATTGTAGTATATCTCTGTAGTCTATTATCTTGGCAATTAGATGTGACCGTAAAATAATTACATAAAATGCGACCGAAATATTTATTAAAGACCCTCATATTTGCAGACGCAAGTAGGTTATACGATAATAGACTCAATTTTGTTGTGGGGTTTCTTTTCCTTTTTTACAATTTCGCCTTTACGAATGCTATTTTCAGTATTTTGTCAGTGTATGAGATCTCGGAGTATAGCGGAATATAGCGGTTTGTAGGGCTTCCTTCATTTCACTGAGACTGACACTTGTATATACTAAGATGGCAATATGAAAATTCAACCCTAAATGTGATCTACCACCTACCACAATATTCCCGGCTTCTGCTTTTTTTATGTGATTGTTATTCCTTGATTATGTTTACATAGCACCACATTTTTGACGACAAAAAATCCTGTCAGGTCTCATCTTCTAAAATATGATTATTACCTTTACCTGACAGCACACTGGATGTGGATTGCAGGGTGTAATTCGTGTTTAATTCAGTATGGTTTTTGAAATATATACTGTAATTGACCGAGTTACTCTTACCACATGGACTTGAAAATGTAACACGTCGACAAACCACAAACTAGCATTCTTCTTAATACATGACATCCGATTTTCAACTTCAATTGCTGTTACGTCTTCAATTGTTTCCTTCCCAATCTACCAAATGTACCAGTTGAGATATTTAGTACATCTGTATTTCAATTTGTAATAGTCTAAAGATCTTTTCAGTGTGATACTGTATCTTAGATTCGATTGGAAATTGGAATAAAGGGATCTAAATGCAGCCATGTATGTGAGGTCATTTTTCTTAGTTGGAATTTTGACGCCTGTATGGGGCTTTAGTTTTTGTAAGTATCTATCTTGCCAAAATAATAATTTTGAATGTCTAAAGCGGAAGAATATCCACGATTGCTTTTCCTTGCCAGACCCTGCGTTTTGCACGACTGACAGAGAAAGGGTGATGGAGGAAAGAAGGAAATGTCCAGGTCTATGTCGTGAAGCCAGGACCTCAAGGCTAAGATTGCATGCGATAATATATATAGTCTACAGTGTAATGTTCCACGATCACATTGTTGAAACATAATGTATTTCACTGTTTTACTTTAAATTCTTTTCAGTTTGTACCCAATTTCGACCATTGAAAATACAAGTGAATGAGACAGCAACTGTGGGTAAAGTAATAGTCACTAATCACTACAAAAAAGTGTTTACCTAAGTGTTTCCTAATTTTATTAACGAAGATATGTGTGTTGTAATGATCTGCTGAGGCTGGTGCATGAACTGCTCCGAAATTTCCAGAAGTTGTCATCGTTCTGTATTGTTCAAAAATAGCCCCTGCAGAAGCCATAAATATCGGAGGTTCCAGTCATTCTGTTAGGATTAAAAAGGATAGCATCGTATTTGTCAGGCAATTTTAAAAGCTACTAACATATTTCACGACCTAGCACCGCTCCTTTTATGTATATGTTTTTTTAATTGAAGGGTCTGTAATTAAGAGTATATTGCCTCCTGATGATGAGTTATCGGATGTAAAGTTATTATCTGGTGATGTATCGTATATTGGTTATAATATTAAACGAAGTCACGTCCGGTTATTAAAATCTGCTAAAGAGAAACGAGTCAGTATAAATAATTATTGAGCAATTGAACAGCACTTTCATAGAGCCACGAAGTAACATTAGTAAAAAGCATATATTGTCAAAAGTATTATGCAAACCAAGGAGAAAACCGACATGTTCCCAAGTCGACTAAATCGATGACAAACAAACATTTAGTCAAATAGCCATCCGAGCGATATGGCAAATGACAAAACTATGCTTCCTTAGAAAGAGTGAGAACTATCTGTCCATTGAACTGAATCAACTTAAATCTCATCTGAAATCACTATTGGATGTCACAAAGAAAACCATTTTATATTTTATATAACCTATTATGTTACAGGGAGAGACTCTGGTGGTCAAAGGCGAATGTTCAGATTATCTCGAACCATATAAGGTACGGTTTTGTGGACATTTAATAGTAAAATATGCCCTGCATAGCTTTACAGTGTTTTACGGGCTGAGCTCATAAAATCATCCTCATAACAGTAAAGCATCAATAGCGGTTTGTTGCATTCCGCTACATAATCTCATATGGTACAGAAAGTTGGACATAATTTCCCTTCCATTTGACAGATTGTCAAACATTATTTCCGTTTCATTTGATTTCATAGACAGTTGAACATTTCTCTGCTTCATTTGATTTGACAGAAAGCCTAATATATTATCTTAAGATAAGATAACGTGAAAGTTTAAGCAACAAGTTTTTTAAAGGTTCTATTAAAATTCATTTGAGAGAGAGAGAGTTGACCATTTTTTTTTTTTTTTTATTTGATTTGACCATAGTTTCTAGTTAAAAGTCATAAGCACATCAAGTTCTCTTAAAGAATTGATATTGAAGAGTGGTATATGATTTGTTTTTCAGTATTTATTGAATATATCTATTAGTATAGAAGTTGAGATACTGGATGTAAATGATCCCCCTAAATTCATCAACTTACCATCCACAACTAATGTTTTTGAGGTAAGATACTCTTTTTTATTCATGAAGGCTTAAATTTACTCTTTAGTTTTCTTTTATTAGTTTGATCTGATTTCTTCTTTTCTTTAATATTGAAAGTAACTTTTTGGACAATAAAGATAATGAGCGTTCTAAATATCCCATGGCAGTGAAGATTTGAGCATATTATCTGCCCTTATCGTAAGATTCATGAACACCAAATGTTATGTCTATAGTTTAATTTCAGAATGTATCTACTGGAAGTACGATATTTACCATTGACGCTCAAAACCCTGATGATGTTTATCCAGAATTTACAAAGAACAAATTTACATTGCTGGTACAGTACATTTTTAGAATCACATAATTTTCAGTCTCATATCTTAAAGAATGGTTCCCTTATTTTCATTCAAAATGCTAATACTTATACAAATAGAAATGATGACTTTTTAAAATACCAGTTTGTCTCACATGTCCATACTTAATTCATAATCAGCTAAATTAAAATAGAATTGCCAGAAGACCGATCAAAACAAGTCAAAAAGTCTTTTTTTGTTTATCCAGACTGTACATACATGGACATTTATGATTGTTTAAAACTCTTAATTACATAGAAAATAATGATGTTATAAAGAATACATGCTAATTCATTAGAAACACCAATTAATCAAATAGTTTGCTTAATTTGACACTAAAAAATAAGGAAACCCATCTTTAAAGATTTTGTTGTAAATGTCAATTTCAAACATGCAAATAATCATATTATTGAAAAATAAGACTGTAAGAATAAAACACAGACGAGCAAAATTTTTTATATGAACAAAAAAATCTGTTTTTTTTTTACAGAGCATTGGTTCTTTAGATAAACCACAACTATCATTAGGGGAATGGTTTTCTGTTGATAATGATGGAAACGTAAAACTTAATCATGATGTAGATTATGAAGATGGACCAAGAGAAATTAGGATTGTTTTCAAGGTTGAGGTGAGCTATAGCATTGGAATTGAAAACCTCCGTAGCAAGTTGTAATGGATAAATATATTCGACGACACAAGTGTATCTTGATGTCACAAATTTCAATGAGACACGTTTGGTTTTTTATTTTAATGATTATAAATAGTACATGTAGCCGAATAGTATTTAAGAGAAATAATTGTGTCAACTGTAGGATTATGGAAGTCCTCCAAGAAGAAATGTGTCAACACTGCTGGTAACAGTTGATGATGTGGATGATCTTGGTCCAAAATTCTCAAGAGATGTGGTGACATTTGCTATAATCGGTGAAAAACCAATAACGGTAAGATAAAACAATGGACAATAAGCACATAAGACCGAATCACATGGAGCGACACTGGTCAAGCAATCTTTGTGTCTTCATTGTTTTTACACAATTTTGAGATCTCCTTTAATATGTTAATTGTATCCACCGATCGGATTTCAACTTGTAGATGTCTATCCTGTTTATTCTTTTAGGTGAAGGAGTGTTCTGTAACCTCGCCAAAACTTTATGCCGAAGATCAAGATGCTAAATCTAAAGCACCGATTGCCTATAAACTTATACATGGTGGGGATGAATACCTTTTTTTCATTTTTAAGTGGAAAGAAAACTATCATGCCTTCTGTGACTCGGCAGATACAATTTGAGAAGAGTCTTGATCGCGATGGCGCATATGGTTTTGAATAATATAGATGAAGGTTTATTAGTCGGATGTTTGTCGGAATCGATATGAAATAGAATACTTATTTTATTTTTGCAGATAATAATAACACTAATCATTGGTCTAAATACTTTACTGTCAATGAAGAAACGGGAGAACTGTGTCAAACTGAGACAGTCAAGTTTACTCTGTCTAAACGTGGAGATCAAACAGTACAAGAAGGTCCTGGAGAATTCAACATCAGTGTCCAGGTATTTATAATATTCATAACATTAGAATTAAAGTCTTCCATTACCTATAGTTGGGAAACATAGTGTAAAATATTATTAGAAAAATTAGGAGCAAACACGTCTAGGCTATAAATAACAATAATATAAGTAATTGATGAAAGTTAAGAAACGTTCTGGTATAACTAAGTCGTAGTGCGGTCTTAGCCTTATTCTAGTCGAATCTCCATAATTAGGTTATTCAGATCTGGTTTTGAAACGTGTTTCCTATTTTAGGCATACCAGAAAGACAATCCAGAGAAATCATGTACAGCTACTATTGTTGTCACTATGAAGAACGTTAATCAATATAAACCAACATTTAAACAGACTAAATACGATGTAATGATACGAGAATATCCAGAGATAAGTTTAGGTAGTCCTGTAGTCACTGTAGAAGCTGAAGATCACGACTATGTGCGTATTTCATTCAACATCCCATCAGAAATTATACCGATATTTACCATGTGGCAATTTAAACAAGGCAAAGGGTTCCTACCATTAACCCACAAATCCAAAATCAATGTATATATAGATCTAGCTCAGTAGCTACTAAAGACATTTTCACGTTCTACTATTAACTACTATTAGGTACACTGTAAGCACGAATATAAGAGAGTCTCGACCATTGGAATACTTCAAGATCATGATCAAGCGAATGATTCCCGATGAGAAAATACAAAATACACAGATAGGATTCCCATGTTTTTAAACTCTTTGCTTCCAGGGACGAAATGGTGAAATAGAATACCGCCTGTCTGTAAACCCGCTAGATGGATTTTCAGTAGATACGAAAACTGGAGAAATTAAGGTTCAAAAGCCAGAAGTGATTGACCGAGAAAATAATTCTACCATTACGTTGAAGGTTTGTAAGTCTTTCTATAGTAATCTCGATCCACATAGAAAAGAATTCATGTAATTTTCAACAAGAAATTTTTGCGAGACGATCCTTTTAGTAAATTAGTTAATTCAAGACGCTGAGGTTTTCAAACAGCATTTTGTAGTGGTGAAAATACAAATTCATAGAGGATCTTAAACGAGTATGAAATATATCAAATGAGTTCAATTCTAACTGAGTCGTCGACTTCAAAGATGCCATGTTGTTCTGTTTACATGGTACATAAATATATGACCTAATTTGCATAGTTATTAATCTGTGCTTCGACTTCATATCGTTTTTATGAACCTATGTCTGCGAGAAACTTGTGTGATAATAAATTGATACCGCATACTTTTCAAAATCTGAACTGTTAATCACAGAAAAACAAAGACAGATTAACGATAATCAATAATGTTGTAGGTTAGTGCAGTAGAAACAAGAAGTCATGATTTGTTTGTCAGTGTACCAGAAGCTGAAATAACCATACATGTTGTTGATGTTAATGATAACTCACCAGTGTTCAATGGATCTGATTTTAATTTTACTGTGAAAGATAACCATCCTGTAGGGACACCCATACATGAGGTACATTTTCTTTGACTACTCACATGTTCGTGAAGTCCAAAATTGCCAAAGAAGCCAATGAAGTTGTTCTTGCAATGTACACAATGTATGGCATCTCACTTTTGTTTTGCTGGATAAATTAAGCGTTTTCCTGATACAGGATTTGAGTAACAGTAAAGTAAACTAATGTCACTTTCTTGACTTTAAAACTATAACAACAGTTTCAATCTTGCAATATTAGAAATGGGTTGTAATTCGGCCAATAAGAAGATTTTATCTATCTGGACTTGAAATTGTAAACTTCCAACATAACAGCCCCTCAATTTACTAGTCAATAACAAAAGACATTATATGCTTAATTTCCCCGGTTTTTATGTTTTTCTACAGTTCGACAAAAGATTGGTAGCTGATGATCCAGATGAGGATGAAAATGGTGATGTCCATTTAACAATAGTTAGTGTACAGAATACACTTGGAACCTTCTCCTGGAATGACTTCCAGAGATTTAGGATAAACGATGAAGGAGTAATAATACTACAGAGTAGTTTACAAGGTTTAAGACGAGAACAAATTCTACCAGAATATGTAGTGGTTGTTCAAGCTCAAGATCAGTGTCTTAATGAAAAGCGACAAAGGTAAAACAATGAGTGGAAGGTATCAATGGATAATCTTAATGACCGTTTTATCATCAAGTATCATTCTCACCTTCTTGTCGAGCTTTGCAAGCGAAATCAAACGGACCCAAACCCGGATTCGTAGTTAAATTATAATAGTATTGGCTGCACTATCGGTAATGGTAATTTTTACTCCGTGGACTTGACATGATTAGCTTATAAATGAGATTCTCCAAAATGATTGTCAATGAGACAAATCCAGTATTTGTGATGATTTTTTTGCAGGAGCAATACAACTCGAGTATATATTAAAGTATTAGAAGCCAATGATTACCCTCCTGTATTTGAGAAGAAATCTTATAAAGTAGCCATTAGTGAGGCAGCACCTCTTGGCACCCTTATTAATGAAATTAAGGTAACAAACACATGAAATTTTCTTTTACTATTTGTATTATTTACTAAAAATTTGTTTAAATACGGTTTCATTTGTATTACGCATTGGGAAATTACAGGCCCAATGTGTAAAATCGCGTAAAGTTCGCCAGTTTTGAGCATGTTGAGCTTGTCTATCTACAAGAAACATAGTTGAGTTTCAGTGTGAATTTTACTTACAAAACGCAACATTATTTATTGTGATAGGTAACAGATCAAGATGGCGACGAGGATATGTTTATATCCTATAATATTACTGATGGTAATGATGATCAAACATTTAGGATCACAGAAAAGTAAGTACAATCCTTACTTGGACCAATTTACTTGGAATTTGTCGTTCTGTTTCAAACTATAAAATAACATGGTATCTTTATTCTGTTGATGTTTTCCCAAAAGATATGCCTAGAAAAGCCTAGTTTGCAAACCTTGTTTCAAAGTTAAATCAGGGTTTTCGAAAGGCTCTATTGACACAAATTTTAACCGAGCTAAAGAACTAATACGTTCTTATTTTCGCAGCAATTTTTATTTCTGTGCCATATTTACGTTTATTTTCAATTTCAGAGGTTTCCTATTTACAAATAAAGCACTAGATAGAGAACTTATTGACTCATATAATATAGTTGTAACAGCTTCTGATGGTATTCACGTAAGTGTCGTTATTGATTTCTTGATTAATTATCAAAACATTTCTAGTTGTTCATGGCATATTATTCCTAACAATTATACATTTTTCCCATCCCAAATAGATGAATTTGTTTTGGCAGCACAATTGTCACGAATACAACGAAATAATGTAACAACGATACCCTTTACGGATAATAACTTATGTTCTTGCGGATCCGGTCTACAAGTTGGTGCTTGACAAAACCCCTAAGTATTTTACAGATCTTATGTATTATTAAAGCTTGTTCTACTGAAGTATCATTAAGGGCAAAATCCACCGTTCTATATATTTTCATAAAGAAGATTTCTAATGGGAAATCTTAAATTCCGTATCCTTTTAAACTTACATCCCATGATTCGAGTAGTTGTCTATTTCAGAAAGTTAACACGTCTATCTCTGTCAGAGTAAAAGATACTAATGACAACCAGCCGGTATTTCAAACTAGTATATTTGATTTTACAATACCAGAAAATGTAAATAGTGGATATGATATAGGATATATCGGTGCTAGTGATGCTGATGATGGCCCCAATGGTCAACTGTTCTACACTTTGTTAGGAGAACACGCAGATATTTTCCACATCTCAGATGTACGTATGTATACACCGATACATGATTTTGTATATTTATTCCACCGATGATATATAGGGGTACAAAATTCAGGCGACACATCTGTAAGAAATCACCTATTAGGGCATAGAACACCGTTGGCTCTTCATCTGGTATCACAACTCGTGACCAAATACACGCAGATTTCCATCTGTGACTCATCACTGTAACAAGATAGCATCTTCATATGCAACGATTGGAAGTGGCTTGACTATTATTATTATTGGTGTTATTGTTTTGCAGGATGGGTACCTTTCGATCTCAAGTCCTAGTTTGATATTTGACAGAGAGAAAACAGAAGTGTTAATTCTTCAAATAGGAGTGGAAGACCTGGGACAGCCTCCACAAAAGGTTTGTCAACCTTGAGTTTGCACCTTTTACAAACGCACAAGATCATGTAGTTAAAATGTGAAAATCATCTTATCATTTTCAGACATTTAAGTAACTACATAATATTGATGAATGAATTGTTAAATTCCATTTCAACTGAGTTATATGGTACCAATGAGGTTAACGTTTAGTCGAAGACAAACAAATACAAATACAAACCGTATTGATAATTATATTACCATTACAGGAAGAGGCAGTAGTAAGAATATATTTGGAGGACGTGAATGATAATGCTCCAGTATTTACCAGGCAGAGATACCACGTAAAAATTCCAGAATCGAATTTAGGATCACAGTACATAATAAATAAACCAGTAACTCTGGATGATATTATAAGCATCATAGATGATGACGTTGACCAGGAGAACCATGATGTAGTCTATAGTTTACATGGACTTGGTCATGAAGAGTTCAACATCGACAGCACGACTGGTAAACTATATATTAGAAACACTAGTTCAATTGATTGTGAACGACGATCCTTCTACAATCTAACGGTAATTCCAATTCAAATTATTCTTAATTCTTTTGATCAGAAAGAAAATGTTTCTGTACCTACGAAAATCAACTGCCAAATAAAAAGAAATATTACGTCGGACTAGAGATGAACCATCTTTTTCTGGTTCATTATGAATTATTGGATTCCGATTAGCTCATGGATAAATAGGTAATCTGTAATACTGGTTTCGATTCCGGAGTAGGTCGAGATGATACTTTCATCAAGGTGCAACAAGATTTCCTAATTCGGTGGTGTAGGTCTGACATGGGAAAAACGTTTTGTAGTTCTAAAGGGGAATTTAAAAGATGCCACTGATGAAAATGAAAAAAGTAGAATGTTATCCTCTATTACCTCTCTATGTCATTCACAATTTTAGCAGTGATTAAGCATTTGTAAATCTTTTATACATTAATTATCCTTGTAGGTCACAGCGAATGATGGTCAGTTTACCACATCTGTTCCTTTGATCTTGGAGATAGAAGATCAAAACGACAATAGTCCAAAATTTACAAATAGCATGATTTTTAAAATTAATCCTGATAGACCGATTGGGAGCCTTGTTGGACGTTTAGAAGCTTCTGATGATGATGTTACTGAACAAAACAGTCATCTGGTGTATTTATTATTGGGAGGAAGCTTGGATAAATTTGCTGTCGATGCCAACACCGGTAGGGCAACCAATATTTATTTCTAGATTTAAATCAAAGCTGACGTTTTAATCATCACTGATAAAGTAAATCGAAATTGTCGCCGTAACAGTTGCAACAGGAATTGTGGAAGATTCGTGGAAATACTTCAAACTCGATTTTCTCGAAAGTTTGAAAAGAATTTTGATTTTCTGCTTTTGACTGAAATAGACACAGGGCATGATAAACTTTCGTTTGCAACAAAGGTTATACCTCTAGTGTTAACAGCATTTTTAACCAAAAAATACAAAGATGAAAAGTCAAGACGGCTATTTTTTTAATGCATTTTTGCATATAGTTTGCAGTCTTGTTTTTAGCAGGTAAAACTTCGTTATTAATCCCTTTTTCAGGTGAAATACGAGTGATACATGACCTTACCTCAGAACCATATCGGCATATATATCTCCTCAAGATCCAAGTAGTGGATTTTGGTCAACCACAGCTCTCAGATCATAGTATCGCTACTATAACAGTTCCTATCAATAAGGCCCCCGTCATACCAAGACAATTTGTATTTAGAGTGAATGAATCTTTCCCGGTATGGTCTATCGTGGGACAAATTACAGTGAATGATCCTGATAATGGAAGGCTACTATATGACATGTCCGTAAATGATGATACATGTAAGTACGCAAATATTTCTTCTGAGAGTAATTTTTTTTTTTTTGATAGTCCAGTGAGAGTTGCAGAATATTAAATATGGGTTCAAAACACCTACAAAGATTAAATGAAGTCATTTAGAATCATTTACGTGACTCTGGGATTACGTGAGACACATCCCTAGTCCCTTTTTCTTCTGGTAAAATGGTTTTCTTTCTGTGAAATTTAGATAAAATAACGTGTAGGCATATAATTTTAAATTTCAGTGCCATTCTACATGGAAAATAATGACGGGTTTATCAGACTTGCTTCCAAATTGGATACAGAAGTCAGAGATATCTATTCGTTTCCGGTTGATATAGTGAATCTAGGACAACCAAACTTAACCTTTACAACTACAGTTATAGTTTATATTGATGATGTTAATGATGAGAAGCCACAGTTCTCAAGTTGGTTTTATACCTCAGAAGTTCATGAAACATCTTCTGCGTCTGCTCCACATACAGAACCTTTGAAACTGGTAATGTTTATTATTATATATCAAGAGCGGACATTTTTTCAAAGTCTACAAATAGGTGACACTATATACATACGGAAAGGTTTAGACGAATACTGTTTTGTCGACAATTTTTTAATGTCAATCCTTCATATCAGAAAAATGCTTTTACATTGTTTGGAATGGTTCATGAAATTTGTCTACCATTTTAGTCTCCAGATCTGAGTGTAACAGATGAAGATGCTAAAGATGGAGATCATCTGTTGTATAATTTACGTGGTCATGGTGCTGAAGACTTCCAGATAGACCAGAGAACAGGGGAAATAACTACAAATAGATCAGCAGATATTGATTGTGAGAGGCAGTGTGAATATTTCGTACAAGTTAGTTTTATATTAGTGTAATTGATGAAATCCTTTCTTTCAGTCAAACCCTGTTTTGGGTACGGTTATCTTTAAATACTGAAGAGGGATTAGACAAAAGTTTACTCAACCACGTTAAGAAGTATATATGCCACGGTTCTTCCGAGTAAAAAAATATTTACACACACGAATCCGTTATAGCCCCCTCGTACCAGACTGCTACCATTTGCTACTAGAAATGTACTAGGTTGTAGGTCAAACGTTGGGACAACTAAATACCTCATACCGCAGGTTATGCGGCCATATTTCGTTCTAACGTCTTTGAAGCGTCTTTGCCCTCAAGGAGATGTTAAAACGTTTTTCTAACGATATTCTCGTTTGAATGGTGTTCTCAACGAGTTCCAGAACAAACTGACGAACCTTGGTGTTTGTTTGAATAATGTCTGGGGTGTCCTACACGGTCATACCGCGCATATGGTGACCTTGACAGGCTCTGAGGAAATTTTCCGTCGCAATAACAGCGCCGTAAAAACGCCTTTCCGGTGTGACGGGGCCAGTAGAGATTCCTCGAAAAGACATTTTAAGCAAATTATTTCTTTAAAAATTGCAATTTACGTTACAAGATGATATAATCCATTTTTATTTTCACCTCAGATTGTTGCCAGAGATGAAAATGGAAAAGGCTTAGAGGGAACAGCAGAGTTGAATATTAAAATCATTGATGAAAACGACAATGCACCGAGTATAGAAAACGATAATTTAACATTTGTAATTCAACCTTCACTATATGTGGGTTCGACGCTGGCACAAATAAAAGCTGAAGATGCTGATATTAGTGATGTCAATCGACTACTGACCTACACTCTTATTGATGGCGGTGATGGAAAGTTCTTTGTTCATCCCAGCACAGGTTTGTTTACTAACGAAATTACGAAAGGAATTATACGACAATAGTTCTTTAATGGTTATCTGAAAATACGATACTCTGAAAAATATATCATAATATGAGACAATAATCGTGAGGACCATGGTAAATAGCTGATTAAACACTTCCACATAAAGGTTCTCTATATTCTGCTATTCTTTGGTCATTCTGAAACTATCAGTACATAGAAGCTTATATTCAAATTATTAAACTTCTTTTGACAGGCGAAAGTATTGAAGCAGTAGATATTGTTCTTCAAATGTTCAAGTCTGCCTCATATGTCAAGGACTAACACCACAATATTAATATCATACCTCACACAACTACCTATCAGAGAAGTCCATCCTTCCCTTAAAACTCGTTCCCAATACTTTCAGGTGAATTGACTTTATCAACCAGTCTGCTACAAGAACCAGTTAGACAGGAGTATGATATGATTATTATGGTAACCGACTCTGGGCAACCACCATTGTCAGCTTCAGTAATGGTAACTGTATATGTACCAGTTAATATTCCAACTACTGTCATACCAGTCGTTACTATAGCTGTACCTGAAGACAGAGTTATAGACGATATTATTTTTAGTTTCGGTGATACCAATGATACAGATAAGAATATAACGTATATATTGGACTCAGAAAGCAGTACGTTGTGATATCTATGTTTTTTTAATATTTTTTAACTGCGTGAAATTAGGTAAAATTGGAAATATTAATATATTTTTTTTTCGAATGATTTCGAGTGATTTAGCTTTGAAAGTCTAAACTCTAAATACTTTCATCACTGCCACTAATGCGACTTTATTAAATTTTAGAATTATGCGTCGGATTTTTATTCTTAAAAATGAAGCCGACGGTTGAAGGTCAAATTTAACTATGGACCGCAATTCAAAAAGGTCTTATATTGCGATATAATTAACTACTCTTTTCTTCCATATGTTTTGTAGACGAGTTTCTACTCGACGAAGTAACAGGAGATTTGACAATAAACGCTACTCTCGATGCTGAAGAACATCAGCTGTATACATTGGTAGTTTTTACAATAGATCATGGTGAACCAACCTACACTATGACAACCACAGTCACTGTCAATATACAGGACATCAATGACAATCCACCACGATTCTCAACACAATCTTATCAAGCTTATGTCTCTGAAAATAATAACCCCACTGCTCTTACTACGTTGAAATTGGTAAGATGTCTTTTCAAATTGTGTCCTATCTTTTTGTGTCTTACCTTTTGCACTCATGATTCATCCACGTTGGTGAAGGATAAGTTTGTTTGTTAATACAGCTTAACAGAGGTACACATTTAAGTATAATCAGAAGGATCATCCAACGCCTTACTTGGCAGGCGAGTATGTTAGCAGGTGGCCATCCTTAATCATGTCTGTTGAATCAATAAGACTTCGCCTTGATCAATCAAGATTTCCGTTCTAAACATGTTCCCTTAGTCTTATCAAGGGAAAGTGCAAAGTGTTCTCGTGTCTAAACATAATCATTACAAGAGACTGAGGGAATTTAAACGATCCTCATTTCCAGATGGTATCGTCGATAGGTACCTCCACTAGATGTTAAAGATCCAGATATTGCTGCTGATGAGACGGGTTTGACATATGAGCTACAAGGCAGTGGTTCGGAAATGTTTACTATTGTACCTAATACTGGCGAAGTGTACGTGAAAGATGGAGTAATTTTAGACTGTGAGCGAGTCTGTGATTATCAGTTTGAGGTAATATTCACCATTGTCAATACACTGCAAGAACTAGTTTTTGACGAAAAAACAATAAAGCCTAATAGGATTCTAAGTTTCTTACTGCTTAGGTTTTTTATGCGTATCTTAAGCGATCCTCTATTTGTCCCGTACATGTTTCTCACACGATTGTGGTTTGTGTAATTCTAGAAAAGCTACTAATAAATTGTTACAAATATTGTATTACAGATCTTATCAACTGATGAAAATGGGACTGGATTGTCATCAGCAGCTATTCTGAACGTGAAAGTTAAAGATGAAAACGACAACGTTCCCGAATTTCTGACAAATTTCACTTTCTCCGCAAAACCATCAGTTCCCATTGGTCGCGAGATTGGAACTGTTCAAGCTGTTGATATGGATACAGAACCTATAAATCATCGATTATTATTTTATCTCACAGGCCTGGGTGGATATGGGAAATTCCAGATAGAAGCAGATACAGGTTATTATTGGTTAATACGTTTATGAAAGTATATTGAACAGAAGCAGCCACAACTTCATCTTTCAATGATTTAGGACAATAAAAACCAACTTTTGCACCTAAAAACCATCAAAATTTCTATCAAAATCCCTCTTTCCATTACAGGAACCATTTATACCACCGATTCCCTACTTCGTGCACCTGTACTAGAAGAATATAAGATCAAGGTAGTTGCTGTGGATTTTGGTGCTCCTCAACTAACAGCTGAAACCGATGTTACTATCAAAGTACCGGTTCACCCAACACCAGAAGTTCCTGAGCAGTTTGATTTCAGCATCAGTGAAAATAGCTATCCAGGATCATTTGTTGGCATAATTCAACTTAATACAACGGATCAAGTGTATTTTACTATGCAGCATCCACATGGTAATGTTATCTCGATCAAACATTTAAGATTTAAACATATTATCCCTAGAGCGATTTTTTTATTGGATTTACCAAGGAAGTGTTTTTTCAGGAACAGATTAAAAAAAAGAGACAGGCTAATGCTTAAAGGAGACATTCCAACAATTATGAAAATACATTTCATTCGATTGACAAAGCAACCTGAAAAAATTTTTAAAGTACAATATCATAATAATAATTAGTGAACAAACTCTGTGCAAATTGTCTTAGCAAAGGGACAATTGTTTTTCCTACTCAATATATTTTTACGTGATTTTTGCATTTAATACTCTTCCGAAGACCTAGAAACTGGAACAGATGAATGAATGGACATGAATTTACGACAAAATTATATTGTTGTACGATGAGATTGAGATTACTGTTTTTGTCATATTTCATACAATAAGGGTGACAAAAAGCTAAACTTGTTTTAGTTATGTTTTTTGAAACCACGGAGCAGTAGATGGTTTGATCTTCTACTATGACTATAAAAATAATTGGGGTCAACTGATCATCTTGAAACGAATTTGTCATACCTGTGACCATTTATATCAATTCTATACAAATATATCTGTTTATGTACTTTAAGATTATATATTATTCTGAAGAGATCTTTAATTAACAGATTCAAATTATCCTTTTTTAGACAAATTTCTTGTGGATTTGGTATCAGGAACCATAACAACACGAACATCATTAGATGCAGAAGAAACCGGCATTTTCACTATCCCAGTTGTTATAACGGAGAGAATGAATCGTTATTATAGTGTGACAACAACAGTATCTGTAGAGGTTGAAGATGAGGATGATAACTTTCCAATCTTCTCATCTGAAGTTTACACTGCATCAATTAAGGAAGGAGTATATGATTCTGGTGTCGAATTGGACTTGGTTAGTGTAACTTTGCTGCTAGGCCATCAGAGGCTTTACGATTGAAAAAGATATAAGTTGCCGAGTATATTAAAAAAAATTATTTCAAATTCAGGAAATAACAATCCAATACCAATTCACACGAATTTGAAGATTTTAAAATATTAACAGTGATAGATCAGAATTTCCAATACACTACTTAATATATATCAAGCAGAAATCCCATTTTGAAAAAAAAAGTTTTCTGGGAGGCCTTTTTTCACTTTAATTTGTTGGACTAATTCACTAATTCATACTCGAAATCAAGTTGCCAATAAATAGACTATATTTCAGAACCCACCATTTGAAGTTTTAGATGATGATGTTACGGAGAGAAATCAGCAGTATGAAATAAAGATTCTAGACGAGTTCTCTGATGTGATATCAAATGTGGATAATCAAGCATTGTTTATAAACAACTTTACAGTTCTGGACAAGGAAGTGAATTCCGTACTTCACATTCCGGTAGGTAGATTAGGAAGGTTTGCCATCATTCACAAAAGCTACAGTTCTACTATGTAGTTGCACACTATGTATGGTACAGCACAGAGATGTTGGTGATGCGTCTTAAATGAGATCGTAATGGATACCTTTACCATTACAGACCTGGTCGCCGAGTGGTATTGGGTGTTCATGTACCAATCACACAAACCCTCATAAATATCATGTAAATATACACAATTTTCGAGGCACCAGTAAACGTTTATATGGCTGATCAAATCACATTGTAGGTTTACTTAACCAGTGCACAGCACCCCGATCAGTTAACAGAAGCTATACTGAAGATCACCCTGGATGACATCAATGATAATCTACCTATTTTTGAACTTCCAAATATAATAAACGTACGTCCAGATGCGACAGTTGGTTCAATACTAGGAAGCGTCAATGCAAGCGATAAAGATGCCACTGAACCAAATAACCAAATACTGTATGAACTGAAATCTGGCGGAGCAGATAAAATTGGTATAGATTCCAACACTGGTAGGTAATTCTGATATTCGTTAAATGTTACATTTGGGTTTTTTTCTGGTATTAATTGTATATAATAATACAAGTAAAATCTCAAACTCTGCTAAACTCAGACCCAGTATTTAGAGCTACTATACGTGAAGCAGACGCCGAGTTCTTCCAAAACTGTTGCTTCTTTTAATATTGTTACAAATTTGTCTTGAAGAAGCAAGATTCGTATGATTGCAAAGTAAGGTTTCTCGTTTTCTTTCAATTGAGAAGGCTGGAAAGTAGATAAGCTAGAGCATTATATAGGTAATTTAGAAGAGTCCTTTTATTTATTTTTTGCGGCTTCAGGGGAACTGATATTAGAAGAACCATTTACAACAGAACCACTGAAATCGACATTTACTCTAATAGTGGTCGCTAGAGATTTAGGTTATCCATCTCTCACAGCTAGAACGTCCGTGGTAATGAATGTTCCATTAAACCAACCTCCTGTTGTACCCGAAAGTGTTGAATTTGATATTGAAGAAAATGTTCCTTTGGGAAGCATACTTTCATCTTTGAATATTACTGATGAAGACAGCTTCCACAATTTAGTCATCAAAATAACCGACACTGGTGTTCCATTTATGCTAGAAGACCAAAAGCTGCTAACCACTGATGTATTAAATGCTGAAGAACAGATGACGTACCAATTTAAGATCGTGACAGAAGATGGAGGAATTCCTAGTTATACCATGACTACCGTGGTCAATGTTAATATTTTAGACATCAATGACAATGTTCCAGTTTTCACTTCTCCTAAATATTCTGGAAAGATAAGAGAACATGGAACTAACAGTCATGTGGAGATTGTAAGTATTTGTATTCATACAAACAGCATATAACATTCGATCTCAATGTGGTCTCCCTAGTAAGAAATTATCTTTTTGGATGAGCGATCCGAAAGTACTGACGTCTAACGGGTCATTACCGGCATAATTTTTAAAGTAAAAGTAAATTTTTCCCAAATGAAATTATGTAAAGAGTTTTTGTTTTCCAGACACCAGCTATTAATGTCATAGATTCAGATGCTCTCAGTAGGAAGAATGATTTAAAGTATTCTCTTCAAGGTGATCATGATCATCAATTTACTATCGATCCAGTGTCTGGTCATGTTACTGCTATACAACCAACTAAACTGGATTGTGAAATAAAATGTGTTTACCAGATGCAGGTTGATGATTTTTCTATTATTATATGTCCATATTAGTCTTCAGTTGAATCACAAATCATAGGGAAACGAAATCTAGAAATTCTAAAATATAAAACGCAATTTCATATATACAAAGTATTTGGCCTAGAATTTTCTAAAAATGAAGAATCTGCCTGGATTCTTGGTAGTATCAAGTTTTTTTCTCAAAAAATCTAACATTTGACCGGTTTAGTAATAATGGACCACACATACATTTTTTTACAGATTCAAGTAACAGACGAAAATGGCGAAGGGTTTCAGTCATCTGTACCGCTGATAGTAAGTTTGGAAGACATCAACGATGAAGCTCCAACATTTGATTTCCTATACTCCGTGTATATTAACATCTCGACATCAACTGGAAAAGAAGTTGTTCAAGTGAAAGCAGTAGATAAAGATAGAGAACATCCCAATAACCATATAATTTATCTGATGGAAGATGGTCAAGGCAAATTTAGTATTGATCCGAATACTGGTAAAAAATTTGAATATCTTTAGCGTTTCATCTTTTCCTCTGTAAGAAATATTTGACCAGCAAGCAACCAGCTTTAGATTGGAGTAACCATTTTAGAACTTTCTTCCCAAAAGCTTACTGGGTTCATTGCAAATTGTGTATGAATAAATTTTACTATCTACCTTACTGAACCTATGTAAATACGTAATACGTGTTTACGTAAATATTAATCTTTTCTTTTAGGTCAGATATGGTTGAGCCATTCACTAATGGAAGGAGGGGTTAAAGATCGGTATGTTCTGACTGTAACAGCTATAGACTCTGGTACACCAATACAATCAGGTCTGACAGATGTTACTATTAATATCGTTAAGAACTCTCGACCCAATGTTGATAGTTCTTATAGGTTTGTGATCCAAGAAAATCGATATGAGGGTTTTTATGTTGGAAGAGTCGAAGCTGTAGATGAAGATTCAGAACTTACATATCTTATTAATGATACAACAGGTAAGAGTATTAATGGTCGTTATAAAATTTTAACATCTCGTCCGACTCGTCGGAGTCAATGTAACCAAGTGGCTGGATAAATTCCTGTTCCGAGGTTATCCAAATGTAGAAGAAATTACATAATATCTTAATGATCCCATTCTTTGGAAAATAGTTATTTGACGTATGTTCATAAAGCACTGGTTGAGCACCGACAAATCAGAAAACAAAATTCAAAAGGATTCAGAATGAATTGTATTAAACATGGCAGTGAATCTAATGCACTGTGGAGAGACATAACAGACCTAACTTTTACTACCACTTGGCGGCCATTACAGCCAAAACTGGAATGTGATGGTTCATTACTCTTTGACAGATACGATACAAATTTATATTGCACCTTGTCCCCAATAGACAATACCTCACTAAGAAGGTACTATAACTTGACCAGTTCTTGGCACCCTGGTATTAGATTTCATGTTCTAAATTTAGTACAAGGTCTTTCTTCACTGGTTTAAATTTGAAATTTGGTTCTCTTGAGCAAAACTCTGTTTGATTTCTTTTAAAAGGAGGTCATAAAATTTCAGAAATTAGAATCCTATAAATCAGGAATCTTAACACACGAATCTGATCACTTTAGAAACACAATTTCTATATTTGATAAAATTTTACAATTTTTACAAAAGCTGCCAAGTTTTAGCATTCCGAAACCATAAAAAATTATTCAGATAAATAGAGGTGTTCTTCAAAATTATACTAAATAATAATTCTAGCGCATACAATTTCCATTTACTAAATTTAAAAGTTAAAATTGTGTATTCTGATTGATTTGCGATAATTTGACAGTACCTGGCAATATTTTTATGATAATGTTCGTAAAGGAAATGCATCCAAATGTCCAAATCTGTGTTCATAAAATTAACAGTATAAAATAGGGTTTCCCAAGTAAATGAGCTAAATTGCTGCTTTTCATGTCTGAAATTGCAAAAAGATCCATAGATGGTCGATGGGTCCCCCAGAAGGTGATGGGTATGGGGTGTTTTTAACGGCTAACAACATTTAATGTTGTTTACAGTAATTTACAGTAAAATACATTTAGACATAAACAGCAACTCATTGTGGAACATACACGCATACTGAGTAAAGCAAACGTCGCAGCACTGGGTCTGTAGCCTGATTAAGCGGCTGCAATGGAGCCCAGGTTTTTGTTATTTTCCTTTTTTTTCACTGTTTGCTCATATTGTTTTCAAAGTCTGTTGTGTGCCAATTTGCAAGTGCTGATGCCCCACCAGTTGAAAAAAAGTTATTGAATTATTTCAAAACAAGATACAAAAGAAACCAATGAGTTTATGGAATGGTTCTAAAAAAAGTTGAATGAAGGTCAATAAGAAAAGTTAATATAAGAGAGGTCATAAAGATGTGTATGTATGTAATATGATACTGGTCAAACATAACAGAACTAAATTTTGAATCTTTAATTGGGAAGATTTATTGTGGTGTTAAGACCTGATGACATATTGTTTACAGTAGACATACCAACTAATTATAGTCACTGGACCATGGGCAGTACAGAATACTCTTTTTTTGGTAGTAAAAGTTAGGACTGATAACTGAATTTACATTTCTTTATAGTTCCTTTTAAAATCGACCAAATATCTGGAGAAATATTTACTACTAAACGAATAGATCGTGAAAAGGTTGAGGAGTTTCAATTTAAAGTTTTTGTAGTTGATAATGGTGTACCTAGGTATACAGTGACCACTGCAGTAACAGTGACAATAGAAGACGTTAATGACGAACCTCCCAGGTTCCAGAATGGCGATTATACCGTCCATGTACAAGAAAACCAAATTATGGAACATTTGCCATTAGTAGGTTACTTATTCGGGTCAAGTTATTCAATCTCACCAAGAAGTATTAGGATAGATTTGCATTGGTTTATTTAGAAACATATGTTGCTTGCTCAATGTAAAAAGACTACTATAGCTGTACTATAGTTAGGACAAAAACCGGAACTCCTTTTACTACAGGCTTTACTCTAGCTGGGAATCGAAAAATAATTATTAGTTATTAGTGGAATGTGTTGATAAGAGAGACATTAAATTCCCTTTTATTTTCCCAGTGCTTTTAAAGGCTGAATAGAGAATGTCACATTATTATGGTATTTTTAAAAGGTACCCAACATAACTGACGATGATGCAACTGAAGGAAATAGACAGTATAGTTTCTCAATGGATGACCAAAACAGTGAGTTTGCTGTCAATGAAAAAAGTGGGTTGATCTCATTGAAAGTACCAAGAATGTTTGATTGTGAGAAAGACAGAAGTTACAGATTTGACGTAAGCCAATCTCTAATCCTGGTAGACCGACGCTAAGTGTTGCCTTTCAACGCCAAATTTCAAATTCCAAATGTCATTTGGGCATGTGGACGTTTTGAGTCAGTGATCGTTGTTCAGCAGTTTGGCCTCGTATATTTGAATTGTTTTGACTAAATTTTATCTTGAATTCAGCTTTTAGCAATTGATGATGATGGTTTAATCTCGAGGCAAACAGTTACATTGGTTATAGATGATGTAAATGATGAAGCTCCCGTGGTGACTGGCGGATTCAATTTCACTGTACATCCTTCCGCTGCAATAGGAGAAAATGTTGGGGAAATTATTGCCAGTGATTTTGATTGCTCTGAGAAGAATCAAAGACTCATGTACAGTATAAAAAATGGTGGTCTCAGTAAATTCAGCATTGATTCTAATACAGGTATAGTATGTAGTATTCTGGAAAGTAAAAGTTGGTTTTTGTTCTTCCTAATTGTATCGGGGACACTTACAGCTTTACCATTGGGCCGTGCGAGGAGCTATAGGAATACATACACATATTAATAATGTCTGAAAAAAGCTTTTTCGAATTCCATCAATTGAAAAACTCAAAACATGGAAACATGCAAATATGGATCACAGACATGTTTGGAGTCTAGCTTTGTTGATATCATTTTTTAGGTAATATATCAGTAATTGATTCATTGGTGACTCCTCCATACCAAGATGAATATGACCTAAAAGTGGAAGTCCTAGATTCGGGAACACCTCGACTATCAACAGAAGTAACTGTTACGGTCCATGTACCAATGAATAAAGCTGCAGTTATTCCACAAGTTGAACATATACAAATGAAAGAAAATGCTATACCACCAGCTATTATTGGTAAAATATCGACAAATGATTCTGATGACCAAGAAATATCCACTGGTCAAATTCAATTCCTCTTGAAAAATGATTCTGGTAAGTTGTACTACTTTAACTGAATTACATTTACATATTGATGAGTATTCAGACCCAAAAGAGTTTTACACCTAAAGATCCAAACACTTATGAAGTGCAACAGAATCCGATTCCTTTCATGATTAGTGAGGCAGTCCCGTTATCATCATCTTTCGCTTTTCCATCACCATTGGCCGACATTGGAGCAGATAAGTGGAAGTGTCCAAAGCTTCTATTTCAATGTAATACGTTGATTTTCTGTTTAGTTCCTTTTGATGTGGAAAGAATGACTGGTTTTATCTCCGTGTTAACTGAATTAGACAGTGAATCAGTAGACCAGTTTCAGTTTGTTGTGGAGGTGGTGAAGCAGGGTTATCCTATATTGACCTCGTCATGTTCAGTAATAGTAGAAATTATTGACACTAATGATAACTATCCTGTATTTAATTCACCTGATGGATATACCGGTTTTGTTGATGAGGATACAGAATTTAATGACCCAACAACATTTATTCAGTTAGTAAGTATGATTTCCTTTATTCATCATAGGCATAAGGTTTGGCATCAGGAACAATAAATTAAGATTGTGTCAAGTCTTTGCTCAGATTATTTGAAATAAACCTGAACATTCACTTGAAAACTTCATTCGCTTTTCACTCATATTTGTAGCACTGGGAGTCCTTGAACAACCTTGCATGATTTCTCCCCGATATTTGTATGTTACCATCCAATTTCATATTTTTATGTATATGTTCGGTATCTGTGTTATCCTGTAGAATCCACCAATATATGTAAGTGATGAAGATGCTACATTAGAAAATAGAGATATAAAATTACGATTAATTGGGAGTGTCGTATTTGACATTGATGATACTGGAACTGGTCTTAAAGTTATAAAACCGGGATCTTTAAACGCCGAAGATACACCAGTATATACTTTATTGGTAAGTTCTGTTTCTATTATTTGAAGATTTGATTTTTTCTCTTGCTGTAGGTTAATTCCACAAGGGAATAGATAAGCTGAAGGGGGGATCATGTCTCGGGCTGTGTTCTAAACCACAACGGTTAACTAGAAATAATAACTAATGTGTTCCTAGTTGTAAATACTTTGTTTTGGCCCTTTTGTGATGTGTTGTCTGTCCCGTGGTTCGCATATCTAACACCATCCTTGTATCGTGGTCCCCTTAAGACCTGTACTGTAGGTATATAATGTGATTAATTGTGATTGATTTATATCGATACTTTTTAGTTAGAAGCACGAGATAAAGGTGGAAAAGGTCTCTTAACGACAACCAATGTTACCATCTACGTAAAGGATGTTAATGATCAAGCTCCAATATTTGACCCTATAGAAAACATCAGCTTATCGTATTTGACTCCCATTGGTACTAAAGTTGGTGTAGTAACTGCAACAGATCCCGATTACTCTGAACAGAACAATAAGATAACTTACGTGATGAGAGAAGGCGGACACGGGAAATTTGATATAGATCCCGATTCAGGTACGTGGTTGCGAAAGGGGATCAAAACTGTAAGGAAAGGGAACAGTAAATTTTAGGGACAAAGAAAAGAAGGCACATATCATCTACATCCCATCTACCAAATAAGTCCTTACGCCTGTAAGTAGTAAAAAAATATAGGACTGTTTTGCTTACTTACTTTTCCTGTTAGATCGCATTGGCATCTTCCTGACAATCAACACAAGTTTTTTATGCAGATAACCTGATTCATAGATGGCAAGTCTGTTGTAAATCTATGTTTAGAAAACAAGCATTTGGTGTATATATTTGCAGGTGATGTTATAGTTGCTGGTAATTTAGCCAATGAACCATGTTTAGACGTCTACACTCTTTCAATACTGGCAATAGACAATGGTTTCCCAAGACGATCTACCAACAGTTCCCTTCATATTAAAGTACCTACCAACAAACCACCAAGAATAGACCCGATTATAAAAATAACAGTATTAGAAAATGAATTCCCAGAAACCAATGTAGCCCAAATCAATATTGAAGATCCAGATCTTATTGCCAATAAAGAAGAATCCATAGAGTTTTACATGGATGACGTTGGGGGTAATCCATTCTCATTTGTTTTATGTATTGCCTTACCAAGGATACTGCTTGGTCCATAAAGGATGAAGTTTGGTGTCTGAATGGTACTTGCCAGTGCAATATGGATATGTGTTGGTGGAAGTCAAACCCACAAAAAGTTGGTGATACAATATTGTAAAAGAACGTTACGTTACCTAAGCAATTGTTTATTCTTGTAGCACCATTTGAACTCGACAAATACAGTGGAATGCTGAGAACAAATGGACCAATAGATAGGGAAATGGTAGAACATATGACCTTCATGGTACGGGTAGTAAATGATGGTGCACCACGGTATACAGCCTCGTCTATGGTTACAGTATCTGTCAATGATACCAATGATAATCCACCTGTCTTCTCATCTCCTACTGGTTACCTGGCTTTAATACCAGAAAATTTTTCACAGATGACGCCAGGATTCAGTGTTCCATTGGTAGGTAATTTCTATAGTATTTTTTGATTTGTCATATCAAATACACATCAAGCTATAAAAATAACTTCATAACAAGTTTTGTAGGCTCTGAAAATTTATGTTTTCACTATTTCTATAAACTGTTAGCGTACACTCTAAACGATCATTTGCCCTTTTCTTTTAACCGCCATGGCATAACACTTTGAATAACACTTCCTGTATAGAGGAAACAAAGGCTTTCATGAAAAGAACGTAAAATCTTGTCATTAAGATGCTTATAGTATTTCTTTTATTAAGTCTGAACTTTTTGTTTAGAATACGGAGTTCAGTGTTAGTGATGACGACATGACAGAAGACAATAGAAATATTCAGTTAAAACTGGTAGGAAAGGGTGCTGATTTGTTTGAACTAGACCAAGAATCTGGAATGTTGAAGTTAAGACAACCATCAGCATTGGATTGTGAGATAACATGTCGCTACGAATTCAAGGTACATTTACTTTTAAAATTGCAATAACGTGCTTATTACTATTAGTATGTTGTGTAATCTGCATCTAATTTTTGTGATTCACATACTTGTGGGAAGGTCTGAAAAATTTCCCCTTTGTCACACTGAACCAATTGTTCCATCTCCCTTTGTAAGTAAGGTATAATTTGGTGTCAAACTTTATTTATTCATTTTGTAGTTAACAGCAACTGATCAAAATGGACATGGTCTTTCAACGTCTACCAACTTAACTGTAGAGTTAATAGATGAAAATGATCATTCTCCACGATTCCTAGATAACTATACATTTACTATCAGTTCATTGACAACTAAACTTGGTTACATTGGTAAAGTAGCAGCTGTTGATGATGATGCTACCATCCAAAATAATCAGATCACTTACCTCTACAAATCTGGTGGTTTTGGGAAGTTCTTTGTTGATTCTGAGACAGGTATATATTTAATACCCCAGTCTTATATATTGAATATGCTTGTGGATTTCAGGCTATCGAGTGATCTCAGTAACTAAACATTTAGTGACACGTACATAATCTGTTCATGATAAGCAGTTCACGTATCAAGTGGGTATCATTGTAGATGGAGAATGGCACGATTCGTCATAAATTAAAAGATCGAATTGTATTTAATGGACGGCCAATCAATAAGGATACCCGCCTTCTCAAATCGCAGTTCATGAGTCAAATTCGGCAATTACCAGGAAAAACGTCCACTTCTCTGACTCAATGATTTTTTTTTTTGTATAAATTGTTTAGGAGAGATCATAATAATCGATTCACTCAATCGTCATCCAAAATATGACCACTACAAATTGGTGGTTGTTGCCCAGGATAATGGTGTGCCAAAACGGATGTCTGTTACTACTGTTAACATCAATGTACCTGTCAACCACCGTCCTTGGATGACTATATCTAAACATGACATTACACTACCAGAGGACATAGAAGTCGGGCATCAGATAGTCAATATAAAGGCTAAAGATAAAGATAAGAATCAGATACTGACCTATCATTTAAAAGAGCAGTTAACTGGTAAGTTATAACAATTTCAAAAATAGTCTGTGAAGCTCAAACCGATTCGGGCATCACATCGGGAAAGCTCCGAGAGAAATTGATTGACTGACAACTAGCAACATCCATCAACTACATAGTCACCAGATGCCTACCTAGAAAAATCTAATTTCTGCATGACAGAAGAGCAATTAATCCAGCCGAGCTGCTGTAAGTTGCTTGCAGTCGTTAAAAAGCCAATTGCTCTCAGATTCTACTCAAGCTGAACATAGTTATGTTGTCACCACCTTTCAATAGCAATCTTTAGCTCAACTGGTGAACTCCAGACTTCTATATGTATGACTCTATTTTCAGTTCCATTTCAAATAAATCCCGAAACTGGTTGGTTGGTGGTCAAAGCTCCTCTAGATAGAGAAATGCGAGAATTTTATACCTTACATGTAATAGTTAAAGATAATGGTGAACCCATATTAACTGGTAATGCGGTAGTCAAAATAAGGATAGAGGATATCAATGATCATTTCCCAAGGTTTCACGGAGGCAATGTGTTCCAAGGTTTTGTACATGAAAATGAAAAGAACGACCGATCACCACAACGTGTAAATTTGGTGAGAACACTATTTTTAAACTGTTAATTCAAAGCATCTCACTGGATTTGTTGCAGGTGACATGAGCGAACAGTTCATATGGATTATTGATCGTAGATACCTATCACAGATTTAACATTCAGTAGAACTCAACTCTGATTAACAGTCGTTGATCTACATGTAATTTGAAGTTGCTCTCAGAATCTCTCAAGGTTGACGTCTTCGTGGGAGCAAATCCGTTATTGTTATAACTGAATATACCCCCTCCCACTGAATCGAATTGAAATCTCTATTAGAAATCCATAGAGCTATATGTATGATATTTATTACATCAAAGTCAATATATTTTAGGAGAGGAATATTACTGTTACTGATGATGATGCTACACCAGCTAACAGAAGAGTTAAACTATATCTACATGGATTAGGAAGCCAGCTGTTTAAACTGAATTCTAAAACTGGTCAGTTGACAACTAGTAAAATAGCCAATATTGATAGAGAGATCCACGACTTCTTTCATTTTAAGGTAAGGGTGATTAATTATTTCCCGCCTTGATTAAAATGTTTCAGAAGGGGTTTTCTAGCCTTAGTTTATGTATTGGCTACACTAGTTTTGTAAGCCAAGTAGCATCAGCTAAGTACTGATATAATCGGGCGTAGGAAATTAGTGACACACTTTGAATGGGTAATCGTAGAAAGGTAAATAATATCATAATATTGCAAGAAGAATCATTGATGATAACACGAAAGTGCCGTCACTTGTTTGTCAATGTAATATCGATCTATTTTGGCATAGATTGTGACCATTGTAACTTTTCAAAACAACTGATCTGCTCATATTCATGTTTGAAATTTGATTTTGTAGGTTATGGCCGTGGACAGTGGTATTCCATCTAAAACATCGACAGGAACAATACTGATATCAGTAGTTGATGTCAATGATAATCATCCCAAGTTTCTGTCCACATCATTTGAATTTGATGTAGCTGAAGATATAAAACCTGGTGGTGTTATAGGTCGTGCTTTAGCTGTAGATAAAGATGCTACTCAGCCTAATAATCTGTTACTGTATCTATTGGAGAATGAAATGAGCGGAAAATTCAGACTCGACATCAATACTGGTAAGAAAATAAATTACAATATCTATACTGTAAGCTTAAATTATCTAAAAACTACGTAACAGCAAACAGAATATACTTTATCAAGTGCATTGCAAGTTGCTACAAATGGATGTATGATATACGAAAGAATTCATTAGATATTAAATTTACCTTTATTTTACAAAGCATTTACAAAATTATATATACTGTACCTGTAAAATCATTTGTATTTACAAAAAGGTACATAAGTAAGGCCACTAGCTATGCCAAACTATGGTGTGCTTAAAATTTACTTTCAGGTACAATCCATGTATCAGAAGGATTCTTTTCTCAGCCTCTCAAGCCAGTCTATAAGTTTAACGTCACAGCACGGGATCTTGGTTTCCCAGCTGGATTAACTACCACGGAGGTCACACTCAAGATGCCAAATACAGAGTTCACGCTACAGGACATCAAGAAACCAAAACAAAGAGTTATGGTACTTCCAGAAGAGATACCAATTGGTTCGATAATTGGTAGACTCGAGCCTGAATTGGAACATCCAGTCCAAGATATTCGTGTCGATCCAGCACAAAAACAAACAGGTAAATGAACTTTGCTTTAAAGAACATGGCATCAATGTAGCTTTACCCTTAATGTCCAATTCAGTTACCTGGGTCACTGTTAACAATAAAAAAAACACCTCTGTATTTTTGCTGAGACTTTTCACAGTTACCACGGCGTTATTGCCCTTCTCCTAATAACCATAAGTGAAACCATACCTTGAACATGTTGTCCGTCTTCCATTGGATGATAGATATTCGTTCGAGGAATAAGCGGCTAGCTTGAATTAAGTTTTATGAACCTCTATATGTCAGGAAAACATTTTATTTTACAGTACCATTTGATGTAAAACCTAATGGAGCAATCATCACTACCGATAGAATTGATAGAGAAACCGGCAAACCTTACTATAACTTTAAAATCCTTACACTTTACAACTGTACACCTCCAATTAACACTGTTCGTGATGTCACAGCAATAGTTAATGATGTTAACGACAACGCACCAGTTTTTCCTTTGGAGCAATACACCTCAACTATCTCCAAAGACTTTCCAAAAGATACTGTTATTGCTACACCTATAGCTTTTGACGAAGTTGATGAACGACCATCTTCCTATAGTTACTCTATAACTGGTCCTCAACCAGAATATTTGACTATCAATAAGACAACTGGAATAGTCCGAACTACTGGATTGGTAAAGAATATAACGACACCTCAAATAGTGTCCTACACAGTGACAGCACGGGATAATCAAAATCCCACTTTACATGCTCGAACGAAGCTAAATTTACACATAATGTCACACAATATTACTAAAGACAATTGTTGAGGTTAATAGTGTATCATAAACTAAAAGCATTTCATAATATAGATATAACATTGCTAAACAGTGTATCATTCAAATAAAAAACGTAAAATGTTGCGTTTGTTGAAATTCTTATTTGAAGCCTTTTAAAGATACCTGTTCCTATAAGGGGTTAATGATGTATTTCGGGGCAAGGAAGTAAAGTGTCAGATTTTTCCTGCAGCTCTAAGCTTATCAAAAAGCTCAACTTGTTTCAGATAAGGAATCAATTCAGGATCTCGATCGGCGCTCTGATCTTCTAAATCCCTTTCCTTGATATCCTTATCTGGTATAGCTAGCTCCGCATTTACCATCCTCAAAATATCAAATCGGCGTATTTTCTTTAGAGCAGATTTCAAATCCTCAATTTTGGTTCTTGTATGATGACGCTGCCATCTTTTTAAGGCTTGCTTCGCTAATATCTCATCCCTTTCCCGCGACTCGTTGATTTTGCTGATATCTTTTTCTATGGTATGACAGCCTCGAGCAGGAACGAATGGTAGATTTCTATAAAGCTTCATCCAGTCTTTTTCAATATTATCGGCTATAATTGCACAAACTGTATTGATTGGCCCTGAAATGATAAAGTGAAGATTTTACATGAAAGGTCAGACATGATACCATATTTAGTTATTATATTTTTAATTATGTATTATTTCATTTCAGTTAATTTTTAAAAAAAAGGCTTTTTCTCAGTTAGCTGCGACGAATCCTGCGAAAAATCAGATTTTCGTCAGCTACCTAATAGATAGGAAATCTTTTCATATTTTTGTAGCCTTGTGGTCATACAACTACCCGCTTAGTCTGCGCTTTGGGGCGTTAATTTTTGTAGCCTTGTGGTCATACAACTACCCGCTTAGTCTGCGCTTTGGGGCGTTAATTTTAAAAGATCAAACTATGCAAATGGTATGCTTACTTCCACCGCTCAATGGCAATTTATCTCGATCTGACTTGGGTCCAAAGGGTAAATCATAATAGAGTTTCTCTGCCGAGTCGTTGGTATTTTTGCATAAAGCAATTCGTCTAGCAACATCCACAGATTGTCGTGTTTCTTCAAACATATTGACAGAGGAGTTCAACTGTTCTTCAGCATCGCTAAGTTGCTTCTTCAGCTTCTTGACGTCATCTTTGAGCTTATCCCTGGCGTTTTTCTTGTTGACTAACCAGTGGATCTTATATTGAATGCCAGATAACTGCCTCTGCATAATGGGTAACCTGTCTTTTAAATCCTTCAATTCGTCTTCAATAAGTTCGTAGTATTCTGGTAACGCACATGTATCAGATAACCTGCTCTCTTTTCTTATCTGGGCCATCTTTTTCTCTTTAAATTCTATTGTTATGTCTAGTTCACGTATTTTCTGGATCAATGACAATTCTTCTTCCTTTAAAGGTTGGAGCTTCTCTTCAACACAACGACTTTCATCTGTGATTTTCTGTAGATCAGATTCAGCTAGATACAGTTTGAATGTTAACGAATGAAATCTGTCCTTCGATTCGCGGAGAGTACAAGTTCGTTGCTCCTTCACCTTTTCAAGTTCTTTAGCATCTGCTTTAACATAAGATCCATAATTTTCATCTGCTTTCATCCATGAGTTCATCAGCAACAGAGCACCTCGGATGTTTGAGACAGCATCAGCAAAAATTACAAGGAACAATACATTACAGCAATCAGCAGTTTCGGCAAACTGCCTTACAGGAGGACAAAGATGTGAAGTGTCTAGTGAAATCCTGTCATTGCCCTTTAACCTCATAAACACAGTCTTAGCATTCGAAATGTGATTTTTTATTTCGTTCCGCCATTTCTCAATTTGGAGTTCGAAATTTGCAGCTGAACCAAGATATCCATCTGAATTCCGATCATAGAAACTGATACAGTATTTATCAAGATTTGTCACTAATTTTTCACAAGATGCGATCGTATCGGACAATTTAGAGGGAAGAAATGTCTGTAGTTTGAGATACACTTCCTTTAAGGCTATCAAATCACTTTTATTCGGACGATATTGCTTGGGTTTTCCAGCACGAACGAATATCTCATCTACATTTGAAGACTTGTTAAGGTCAAAGATCAAAACAGCTCTCATGACTGATTTGATGGGAATCAGATAAGTTTCTATTTCATCATGAAGTGTTTTCTGGCCACCATAATAAAGTCTCTCTAAACGCATTAGTCGCTTTGTTAACATTTTGATTTCATTTCTCATCATTTTCCTCACTTCACGAAGATTTCTTGGTGGTGCTGCTTCTAGGTGAACCACACCTCGTGGTCGTGGTATGGTGGTCAAAACGTTTTCCGACATATTAAATCCAGCCTTACCGATTAAGGTAGGCATCCTGTAATCTATGACTGGGTTCAGCTGAAATAACAGAAAAAGTAAACTCAGTTGGTATACTAGTAATATCTGTATTAGTATTTATTTGTGATTGAGAAACTGTATCATATTTTATCTCTTGGACTTACGTCGGATCGAGGTTAATTAAGGTCTTTAAGGTCAATATACAGAAATAAATTCATCTCGATTATCGATTTTGAATATTGAATTTTTACCTGGAGAAAGGGCGGAAGAATAACAACTTTTGTTCTCGAGAGTCCTTACAATCTGAAGATCTTATCTCTGAACTGAAATTCTCACTTCTTGGTGTTATAAGGAGCAAAGCAACAGACATTTTTATTTTAACAAATTCCGCTTTCGAAATTGTTAACTTTTTGGTCGATCCGTAAAGTCAACCAAGTTATTTTCAATCGAACTGAGATTCACCATTCACCATCTTTCAAAATCCATAATTTTTAAATCATACTTACCCTGGTAGCCATTTTAGAATTTAAAAGTCAAAAATCTGATCAATTATCCTTTCACTGTTATTCTCAAGCCAATTTATTTGTTGTGGGCTTCCTATATCTCAATAGCGACCTTTCGAAATACAAACAGTATTGTATGAGAAAATGATTATATTTTAACAGAAAGGTAAACATTCTATTGACTGGTCTTACAATGCTATCTTATATTGATTAGTGATTGGTCATATTGTCAATTTCTATTCATTTCTACTATGTACCTTTTATATACCGTTATATTAGTTTGGTATTATCAATATACTCTAGTCAATAACACTGGTTTTAATATCAGTCATATCTTATTGGACTTTTAAAATCTTTTTATTCTTCTGTATATCTGTGGTAGATAAGTACTAATTGAGTACATGTTTGTGCAGTGCTAGTGTATAAATTCAATGTTAGGGTTTCAAAGTCGACGTTTGGGTGAGCCAGGCATAAAAAATGTATTGCTACCCCAGAGACCCAATTTCAATTGAACATCTGATACACGGAATGCTTCATTAACAAAATGAATCTAATCTGTCGCTGTTATTTTTTGTTTTTGAGTGGCGTTTTTCGGCGTCTGTTTTGCTTTTTAATATGTTTGTTTTTGGCCATTTTATAATTTTGCCATATTTGCTAGACATTGGGCCATTTTCGCTGATAACACTTAAAGTGTGTATATGGCAATTGAGAAAATGAGAAAAAGTATAGATCAAAGAAATAACTATGTAGTTGCAATTTGATTGTAGAAATGTGAAGGAAATCAAATGTAAACTATCTCGTGACAGAGACATACTATACAATGCTATAATACATAGTTCAAAGGATTTAGGTGTTATGTTTTGAATATTCTAGTGATTTCCTTTCAATATTTTATAATCCATATTGATCGTTTAGTATTTTACACTCGTGTCAATGTTTCTACTGGTGTACGTACACACTCCAAACAATTGAATTGATCCATTTTAATTTCATGAAAGGATTTGTAACTACAATCCGAATTGTATATCAAACAAAAGAGGAGTTCATATAACAAAAATAGTCACAGTGTTCACTGAAAGTAAAAACGACCATATAGTTTAAATACATATATTCCTTTGCGTGTAATCATTTGGCAGTGGATTACGTATTCACCAAAATTAGAATCGTAGGTAGGGAGGGTCAATGGTATTTGCGGGGTTTATCTGCATCACCCTTATCAACGATTGGGCTTCTGCTTATGATTCTTTTTGTAACATTAAACTCTTGAAAACACTTTGGTCGTTGTGATTCTTTAAAATATTGAAAATGAACCCCCCGCTGAATACATGAATGTTCTTTTTCCCCTCATTATAGTTATTGGTTATTAATGTTAATTTAGCTCAATGGTTTCGCATATTGTAACCTCGGTTCTTAAATTGCTTACGCCGTTGATCTGAATTTCATAAATGGCCATTTACGTAATCTTTAGGATCGCTGCACTACCTTGTCAACAGCTTCATCGTGTCACACTAGATGAAGAGATCAGATCTAAGATGAGCATAAACAGAAAAAAATCTGTAATTAGATCGACCATCGGAAGATGAAGCACATCTTTTAAGCATTGGGTGTCATAGTTAGATTCAAAGGGAGAAAATTACACATAAACACTTGAAAATATTGATCTACCAGTTACGTTTATTCCATACAGTTTTCTTATAGAGAAACTTAAATTTCCAAACATAAATTTACTAGAGAATACTACAGAAAATCAACTAAGAAGAGAAATAGCATGAGATTGTGTACCAGTTTTAGATGTAACATGATCACCTCCTGTACCAGAACATAACCAATTAGAGTCTAATACAGCATCAAGTGTGGGTCTTGTCTGGGGATCTGGATGAAGGAGACTGCGAATCAGGTTCTGGCATTGTTGGTGAACTACTATTAGATCATCTAAAGGAACAGCGATTTGGTGCATTAGTTGTTTCTTGATCATAGCTAAAAGATCTGTCTCATCGAACGGCATCTTTCCACAAACCAGAATATAAAGGATACATCCCAAACTCCAAACGTCGTTCTGTTTTGGATCATAAGGTATACCTTGAAGAACTTCTGGTGAAGCATAAGCTGCACTTCCACAGAACGTTTTACTGACAGTTTCACCACTAGTTTCTACCTTTCGAGTGAATCCAAAATCACTCAATACTAATGAGGAATCACCTCTAACTAAAATGTTCTCAAGTTTCAAATCGCGATGCACAAAGCCTTGTTGATGAAGGTACTGCACAGCTGAAGTTATTTGTCTAAACATGACCTTCGCTTCCTGGTTAGGGAAGGCACCATGATCTTTGGTGTATGACAAGAGATCACCCAAGGCTGCGTTTTCCATAATAAGAATAGTTGCATGAGGAAGAATAATTATTTCACTATATTTAATGATATTGGGATGGTCGAGTTTTATAGCTGCAGTTAGTTCATTGGACAAAAAACTGGAGGTGTTCTTCCGTTTTATAATCTTAGCAGCATACATTTCACCATCCGAAATCTTCTTCACAATCCTGACCCGAGAGTAACTACCGTTTCCAATTTCCTGTCCTAGCCTGTAACCCTTTTCAGCAAACAACAATACGAGTTGTTGTAACTGCTGCTTCTTTGGTTGCCTTGGTCTGTGTTTCTTCACTTGCTTTTGATACAGAACAGTAACGGGATCGGAACATTCCCGATTTTCTCCTTTTTTGGGTTCACCGATTTCAGGTTCCATTAGGTGAGTTGTAGACTCAGTTTTGTGGATCCCAGCTCTAGAGCAGAAAGTAATTCGTGGTCTTAAACGTTGAAGAAACTGATGTATGTTTTGAAACACATTACTACTTGGATTGAAAACGTCTTGTTTAGGATGGTGATTTTTGTGTCGTTTTAAAACTTCGGAATTGTTTCTTTTCATAGAAATAAACTAAAAAAGCAGCAATACAGAAGACAAGCTGCTTGAAACTACTACCTACATTGTACTATCTGTGGATAGATGATCAAAACGTTTTGCGTTTCCAACAATTTATTATGACGTAACAAAGGACAAGACAAAACAGCATCACATAAACTACAATAGAAATTCGTCAAAGCTACGTTTATGACAACACAGATTTTAGAATGGAATCAAAGATTTTAGCTTGACGCTACGCAGTGGAAGAACGAATTTGCTGGAGTGGGTCTGAGCATTGTTATTATAGGCGCTGTATTCCGACATATTCAACAATTATTGAGGTACATGTATAAGGGATTCGAATTTCGTATTAGTATTCATATAAATACAAATTACAATTTTAAATGCCATTGACAACGCTGGAGTGGAGTTTCCTTTACTATGGGCATATTTAGTGGTTTAGTTACAGAAAGTTATTTTAAGATTACTGCTATAATATAGGGCATGTAATAAGATCGAGAAAGAAGGAAGGACTCTTATATTCCCTTTTCGAGCGCTTATTGTTTGAACTTGGGCTTGCAACATTCCCTGCAATTCTCTGTAAAAATTTATATTGCAGAAGGACTCATAAATGATTTTTTTTATAAGTCTTCAAATGGATTGCATAGTTTCACTTAAGTTATGTCAGGGGTTTTCAACATAGGGTATTTGAATTATTTTTGTGAATGAGGTGGTTCAATTCAATCAGGCTATATTCTGTCATGAAAATGATTGCGGGAAAAACCTACAAGAAAATCATCAAATAGTAAGAATTTTTATGGGGGAGGGTGATAATGCAATCATCAAGGATCTTGAACGGGTCATAGACAGAAAAAAGGTTGAAAACCCCCTGGATTATGGGTGTATTCTCTTTTTGCCTGCACTTTGATTGGCAATAAGAGGATTAGGATTAACTTTGCAGTCTTGTTCACGTAAGTGGAATTCAGTCACTGACCACAATTCAATATGATTAATGAACTGTCATTAAAAGTGATCACAACTTAATATGGCATGACTCATGGGGCAAATGACAAGTCATTCTACAATGGGAGAGGCACAAGTGCAATTTGTTCCCAATTCCGGGGGTGTTCAGACTTTAGTATTAATTGGATATAAGTTTAGAATGAAGTCAAGACTAAATAAAACTGTCTACTGGAGATGCTGTTGCCCCACAACCATAAACACTGCGGATTTTTCCTAAGTTCTTGAAACTTGCATCCAATCCCTTTGATTTTCCAATAAAATATGTTTTAACCTAAAAAAAAAAAACACTGCCCACAACCTGGTTATAACATACAGAAACACCCATCCATGTAGCAGATAATGCTGCTATGTATATCATATGTGTATAAATTGTGATAAAAGTGTAAATAAAAATAAAATGTGATAACGTATCCCCCCTATTTGCCTTCATTTATAAAATTAAAAATACTTTTGAGATACAGACTGTAGTCATAACTCCTATAGGTGCCTGCAAAAAGAGAACACACCGGATTATATATACTGTCGTGTGAAAGACCTAAAAAGCCGTGTTCAAGAGTTACTCCCCTTTGACTACACAAACCTTTAGGGATGACAAATATATTTTACTCATTTAATCATTCATACCATACACTCCATCATAATTAACCATCAAAATATACAATTTACATTAATTAATATTAATTACATTTATCACTTTTAAAGAAATTACTCAATATTTATTCAGGTTAAACATAATATAAATAACACTCTTCATTTTAGAGTAATAAATGTACATTGGACCTACAGGTATTACAAAATAACAATTCACTTATTTAGAAGAGCAGGCCCAGAAATAACTCACAATGTGCCATTGCACATCATGACTTCATATAGGGATATAATAAGACTAAGACCATTGTGGTCAGAGAGTAATACCTCTTGCAGTAACAGAGTTTAAAGGTAACATTTACCAAAAGATATTTCAAAACATACACCAGAAATGATTGATCTACAATTTGTTAATAATTCAAAAATATTCCATCTAATGGCTTGTTCATTAGAGGCATCACAATCTGATTAGTTTTTCCAGAATTACAGGAGCCACAGATGTAAGAGAAATTGGAATGGTGAAAATAGAGGCTAAATAATATCCCTGATACACATACAGGCTTAAAAAATAACTCTTTTGATTCACAGACACATAAATATCACCATTACACATACTAATAATAACCATAAAAAATCTTCTTCATCACTCAATATGTTGATGTTCCTGCCATAATGTTTTCACTCTTTCAATAGCATTTTGTCCATATTGACTTTTGATAAACATATTAGATGAACATAGAATAACAAAGATCCATGCACACCATAATAAATAGTCTGGTTCTATAGTGGGTATAGAGCTTACAGGTCCTATATAGTCTATATCTTCTACTTCAACTGATTTATTTGGTTCTAAACCTGCAATAATAATTATTACTTATTATTATAAGTCATACCTGAATACCATCTTTTGTTCAGTAACTCTTGAATTCAATTCTTCATTCAGTCATACATGATTTTCATCATGGCTATCAAACGTTTGACCTACGAAGTTACAGTGCGAAAATTTATGTTTACAAATTAGCGAATTCTAATTCTATGGATTCATTCTACCACCGATGGTCATTATCACAAGTAATTTGTTGTAATGTTTTTGTTATTATCATGCTATGTTATTGAAATGAAATATTATAAACAATTGCGGTTCTACAGGACGTTTGGCCCTATAAAGTACATACATGTCTATCACATGACAGGTTTCCTAATAAGAAGGGACATAACTTAAGTGATGGCATGGCATGTTTCAACAATCTGGAAATTCATTAAACCCCACAATTTTATTGGGAATAGAAATGTGCAGAAAAAAAAGGCTCCACTGTATATCTTGTAATACATGGCAGTAGAAATATATAGTAAAACACAAAAAGACAATAAATTGGTATCTTAATTATCATAAGAAGATGAGTATTGTAAAATACAGTTCATTCTGTAACCAACAATGATAACTTATGGATCTGTGGTTTAATTTGGTACAGATAAAGATCTAACCTTCACCTAATTATAAAACTGAGTTCCCTTGTACTACCTACACTACATACTTTGAACTTAAAAGATAAGCTGATACTTGAAATCAAAAATATTCGCTAATTTTCCTCATTGCACACTCCATAAGCCTAATCTTTGTAAAACTAATCAGGAGTATAAGCTATCTAACTTCACCCTCCTGAACAGACAAAATAAAAAGCTTGTTCAATGGTGACTACCTACCTGTTACATTCATAACAAATTCTACCAGTTTATCAAATGATCTCTCTGTTTGATTAAATCTTATAGCTGATCTTGAAGAATGAAACACCATTATATTAGGTACTGCAACTGTCCCAAATCTTGCATTTAAACTGAAAAATATCATTTTCAATATAAAAATAATTTTTCATTCCACAAATAAATTTATTAGCTTATTACATTAAAAAAAAAAACAGAATTAAACAATTATATACATTTTAAATATAGAACAAATATATACATGTATATCACAAACATAAGACAATATTATAGAATTAGCACACATCTTTAATAAAATATTAATCACAAAATAATGTGTTGAAACATTATGTGTTTCATATTTTATTAAAGAAGTGTGCTAATTCCATATTATTGTCTTGTGTTTGTGATATACATACTCCTCACTTCTAAATGTCCTTCAAGTCTTATATACATGTATATCAAATAAATGTTATTGGCTTCAAAGAATCCTGACGTACAGTGACTTCCAGGGCTCCAGTCAGTTTCTTTTGCAACTCCATGATTCAAAAGGTTACAAAAATCATCGGACCTACTTGCTAAAATGTACAGCATCAACAGCCAAGATATCTAACTGAATAAACGCTCGACCTAATGCATTAAACTGGGCAGCAGTTCTGGCACAAAATTTACACCATGGTGCGTAAAACATGATCAAAATACAATCCGTAGAGTCATTGTTAGAGTTTTTATCAAATGTCAAAAAATCCAATAACACTGAACTGTTTACTAGTCTTACAATAGCAGTTGTGTTTTCAGTCACATTTCTACCAGTACAATTAAATTTGACTCGTTTTCCAATATCAGTTACATTCTTCACATCAATTTCTGTATTGTTAACCATCAAATCAGTGTCTAGTTGCGTTGTGTTCACATTTTCCAAGGTCTCATTTTTATCTTTGGCCACATTCAATCCTTCTTGAAACTCTTGTAACACTGGATTGAGCCAACTTTTGATAAAATTTGTCAATGAAAACACCTTTGAGGTATCTTTTGACTCCTCTATTATGTCCTCCAAAGAAGATAATTGTTCATCTGTTTTGTGATGACTATTAGATGACGCTTCATCATCTTCCAAGTTCTCTTTTAAACTACCTGTAGCTGTTTCAGCACTAGTCGTAGTCTGTGTTACAACAGAATCTTCAGGTGCATCACTGTATTCATTCTTATGATCATGAGGATCATGTTTATGATGTACATCTTCAGGATCTTCAGCAACAAGTGAACTGCTATCCTGACTGTGTTGAACATCTTGTTGACCAACGCTTAGTGGTAAAAGACATATCACCACTAACAAACAGCACACCATGTTGCTGTGAAATGAAAAATTGAAAACATTACAGTGTGGGGACAGTAGAAACTTGTGCAATAAGGTTTTTTGTTAATCATTGTATTGTATTGTGCAATAAGATTTTTTGTTAATCATTGTATTGTATTTTGTATTTATTGTATCGGTCTATTAATAAGCTTATTAGCTTCTTGACTGCCATTTTTTTTCTGGGTTTTCACGTTCAATATTGAGTAACCCTAGAAGTTCGATTTATATTCTGAAAATTTATATTTATGAAAGCTTATACCCGGCTATTGATCTGCTGAGTCCTGTACATTTGGGAGAATCAAACCCACCCATCCCCGAAATCTATCAACTGGTCAAATGAATCAAATCTGATATGTACCAACAGCCATGCAATGATTTTGGTTTTGTTCAGTAAAGGGTATTGACATACAGTATAACTGTATAATTGTTCGGCTGTTAAAAGGTATTTATTAATCCGATATTTCCATATATAACTCTATGGATATTTCATTTCATTTCGTGACTATTCACTTGATTTAAATGATTATAGCCATTATATTGCATGCTTACGATACCTAAGTAAGTATCAACATTTGCATCAAATATCTTAATCAGTTGCGGTGAGCTTTTTCAGCAGGCTAAAAACATTATTTTCTTTCGTAGCTTTGGTAGATTTATTTGTTTTCAAGCCATACTGCTACTTCCGGTACATTTTTAGCTGGTCAATCGAGAACAAATGTGAGTTATGCCGCTTTACAACTATCGATTGGCAGACGAATCTTTTAATGAGATAATAAATGACGTTTTTCACAGGTTATTAGTGGTTTTTAAAGGGTTTTGTCACTGTTTTTCATTAGTTTTTACAATTCAGATGTAGGGTGCACAAATTTTATCGGGTTATATTTCGTACTTTTTTAGCAAACGGGCATCATTTACATCTTCATTATGAATGAAGCCATGTGCATTTTATATTCCACGTGTCTCTCTCATTTATGTTATTTGATTGGCTGAGCAGTCTCAGTTCATAGAAATTGTCCAATCAGAAAGTCGATTTGTTTTATTAATTTTTGCATGGTTGAGTAATCCCTTTCACGAGAAGCCGGCCGGCTCGAGGTCAAATAACTTAAGAAACGGAAGAAGGGTGGGATTAAATTCTTGAAATATCTGTTGTTACAGTGTTAATAAGACCTATATCGTAATTGATATAGATGGATACCGATATGGACATTGCGCACAATTTTTCCTATGTTTTCTTTTTTGAGAAAAACTGGCAAGAGGCTGCATTTTGGAAGTATATGGTTGAACGTTGGACAGATAGCTTCTTTTATTCTGTGATTTATGTGGTCCTTATTTTTGGGGGACAGTATGTCATGCGAACGCGTCAAAAATTTGATTTGCGTTCTGCCCTTGCCATGTGGAGTGGAACTCTGGCAGTGTTTAGTATAGCAGGTGCCATAAGAACCATTCCAGAACTAGTCTCTGCATTACGAAATCATGGAATGCAATATTCTATTTGTGTTCCAACATATTTCAATGGTGTGACCAGCTTTTGGGCGTTTATGTTTACAGTATCCAAGGTATATGAACTTGGTGACACAATATTTATAGTGTTAAGAAAACAACAATTGATCTTTCTACATTGGTATCACCATATAACTGTACTATGCTATGTATGGTATAGCTATACTGATCATACAGCGCCAGGAAGATGGTTTATGGTTATGAATTACACTGTTCATTCAGTCATGTACACTTATTATGCTCTCAGGGCACTGAAGATCCATGTTCCTAAGAGAATCAACATTTTGATAACAACTTTGCAACTGATGCAGATGATTATGGGATGTGTTATCAATTATATGATATACAGTATCAAGAACCGTGGCGAATTTTGTCAGCAGACCTATACTAACTTGCGCTACTCTTCCATGATGTACTTTAGCTATTTTGTGCTCTTTGCACATTTTTTTTATAATACATATTTATCGTCCAACAAAAGATCTGTTAAAAAGGGTCAATAATGGCGAACTTAGGCACAACTATGTTATATTATTATTGATGAATATCAGTATATATGTGAATGCTTGAATGACTTAATTTAAGAGCTTGAATGTGTATAAACACGACATGTATTTGACAACAACGCTCTTCAATTGCACATTCAATTGTATGCTTTAGGCTTATGTCTGTAACGAGTTGGGGCAACTTTTTTGTAAACGAAAAAGGTCTTGAGAAATTTATATTCTTTTACGATATGAATCCCTCTGTTTTGTCCTGGTGATTGTGTATATTGATTGTTGCCGGTTTTATAATATGTCTTCGAGAGCTTAGAAATCTCACCTTCCTTGATTTTGCTTTGCTTGAAACATTTGTTACTGAAAACTTCAGATCAAGTGAATCAGGCATTTCTGTACCAGTATTTGGTTTCTGTATAATTTATACTATGTCCAGCTATGTTCATTTGTGACAAGCGTTTTACAAGGGGTTATGTTTAGTCTATACACATTCCGTTTGTATGATTTTACCGGTGATTCTACTACCAGTAGATCTATTGATATTTTATTTACATTGTCTTTCAATGATAGTTGCATTGATTCCAAATGATAAAATGGGGATGTTACAAAGTATGAGTTGTGAAAGTGCACGAAACACATAAGAAGGCTAGATAAATCCTTTCACAATCCTTCATTGTCATTCTAAGGGAAAACTTGAAATAGTTGTTACATTTGCTTGAAAATGTAAATTACTCTTCAAAAATGAATCTCTAACCTTAAGAGTTGTTTGATTTCCGTTTACATTGAAATCGCGTGGAACAAATTGGCAATTTCGATCTCACTTCAATTAATTATATCAGACTGACATGAGCATTGTTTTCTCTCCAAGTACAGAATTCATTTATCATGTTTTCATGTACATTAGCTTGAATTTGAACTCCTCTATTATAATTACTGTCGTGCATATAGCTGACAGTAGAAGCTTCTCCTCGAACACTGCGTACCATGCTTTTGGCAACTCTGAATCCATTTCGGAGATTTCATAGAACATATTATTTATTTGGTATATTTACTTAACATTCTTGTTTTATAAAGATGATATTAATTCTCATTTTTAGACGCTATTGTCTTTTCAAGCATTTTATCTCTTAATTCATTCTTGAATAATTGATAACATTTACATTACGTCATTTTTTTATGTTATTATGTATTTATTTACAAATCTTGAACCTTTACCCTATTTATTCCATATTTGCCAAGACTGTATTTCAGGAATTGTTCGTAATAAATTGCATATTTTGCAATTCCTTAGTAGCATGTGTTCTATATTCATTTAAAAGGTGGTATCTCAGTTGAATCTACTCTTGTGAATAAACAAAATTTCTGACATCATTTCCTCGCCATCAGTCATTCACAGAGAAGTATATATCCTTCAACATTTTCAGATTAGTAGTTCCAATTCTACTTATGATGCTTTTGACACAAAACGTACTTCCAGAGGCAAGGCAGACAAGTGCCTTAAATACTTCAAATGCAGGATGTAACAATGGGAGATGAACGTGACCTCTCGCCTTTACTTGATGAACAAACTATAAACTATGCTTTTTTTTACACATCTTTTATACCAGGGATTTTCAATTACCTCTTTCAGCGCCCCATTTCAAAATTACCACGGGTGACAGAACCACAGGTTCTAGGTCCCCAGGCATTGTATATGTCATTGTCTATGTTGTTTTGGTATTATTTGTTATCTTCACAGTAGACTATCAGCATGGAATGTATAGGTGTAGGGAATTTCTGACTGTATGACATTCCAAAAATGTCCAAGAGAGACGCATCGATGGCCATTTCGGATTTTTGAATAATGCACCCTGGACAAGCTTTCATTTTTATCACGAGTCCCATTATTATGTACTGTTTACATAAATTCTCGACTAATTCGTTTCAGCTATTTCGGATTTTAATTCCAAAAAGTAATGTGGACAGCTTAAGCTCCATCAAGTAATTATCCAATGGTATAACAAATAGTATGTACTCCCGTAAAGAGATAATGCCGCAATTCGCCATTTTCGGGGGTTGGGTTTTTGTGGGTTTTGAATATAATTATGTTATTAGTCTTCAGAAATACTAGAAATGTGCAAACATATTATCGTCATAATTCCTTCAAAAATACCTCCAACTAGGAATTCCTCTTTCTAGTTCTATACATAGATGTCTTTTATGTATGTGTGAGAGTCATTTTAACATTCAAACGCGGATATTTCTGGACACGCATGGATTTGAATGCTAAAATTTCGGCTGTGTGCTGTGAACACTAAATTACTGATTAGCTTAAAAAAATCCCCTTTCTGAAACTTAGGTACGATTGCTCAATCGGTTTGCAAACCTGTCCCTTAAGATCGCATCACGATGAACCAAATACCTAAGCTCTCTAAAAACAATTTCGCATAAAATTAAAATCAATGAAAACAATGGTTTTATTTGGTCTAAAATTAATGGTAACAATAACAATATATATATATTTTCTAAATGGGGCATATTCCCTTCTGTTTATGACTGCACACATGATCAAAAACTATACATGGTAAATTAATCAGTAACATCAACTTCAACAACTTTACCGATGAATGCCCTTAGACATTGGACTATGGCAACAGCACTTTGTACATAACAGGGTTAAAGATTGTCGCACAAATAGCTTTCAGATATGAAAGATCCATATTATCGTGGGTGAAAGCTTTTCGCGTCATATAACGTCATCGTCATAATTATGAGGTTTCAAGCGATCACCAGCGATATGAAAATAATAGAAGCTTCTGTTACATCTCTTTAGAGGTAAGACTTAGGAGACTGTTATTTCGGAATGCCCTGAGTGTCTTAATTTGGATTAATTCAAATGACAGCCAATTTAGGTGTCCTATGTAAACAAAGGCGTGTTAAGCCAATTGGGCCATGCCATCCCACAACACCAAAACTAGTTTAGGTTTACTTAATTAATTAGTATACTCGGTTCTTAGTCAACCCTTTACAACACCCTCAACATGAGACATAATAAGTAATAATAATAAAAAAATACAATAAAGAATAGGCCTACATAAGCGGTAGAGTTAGTCAGATTTGTGTTGTTTTCTACTTTTTGATCTTGGGACCATGTATGTTTTGTAAAAGAAATTAGCAAAGAGTACAAAATACGAGAAATACATGGCAGTAGACAAAACTAGATTAATATCTGATTGTTGACAAAATTCACCCCTCGATTTATACACAAATACCATAATATTAATAATACATCCCATAATCATTTGTAATAACTGCATAGAAGTAATTAATAAACTAATCTGTTTAGGAACATAGATTTGCATAGCTTTTAGAGCATAGTATGAGTACATGAAGGAATGAACAGTAAAATTCATAACCATAAACCAGCGCCCAGCCGCGGTATGCTGACTAAAACTATACCAACAGTAACACAGAACAGTAATATGATGATACCAATGTAAGAATACCAAGGGCTTCTTTCTTAACACAATAAACAGAGTATCTCCTAATTCACATACTTTAGACGTCACGAACAAACCTCCCCAAAATCCGGCTACACCATTATACCAAGTAGGCATGCACACTGAATACTGAAAACTCTGTTCGTTTACGGCGAATAAAAATTCAGGTACTGTTCTCACTACTCCGGCAATGCTGAAAACAGCCAGCCCCGTGCTCCATACTGCTAACGGTTGTCGGAGGTCGTATTCTTCTCTATTCCTCATGTAATACTTAATACTGAAGATAATAACCGCATACAACAGTGAATATAATAAAGGGTCCATCAATCTCCTATTCAAATACTCATTAAACGCTGGTTCATCCCACACTCTCTCAAACTCAAATTTATTAGAATAGTTGTAGGTAATACTGGATAACTCCGAGGCAGACATTTTGTAGGAAGATTAAAAATCCCTCTAAACTTGAGTATTGACTTACTATTTAAGGCGGTCAAGAGTTGCGCAACCTTCTTAAAAAACACTCTGTGTATACCTGTTTAAAAATAAATATGAGTAACTTCAGCTTATAAAGGTAGCCTATCTTATATACAGAGACGTACAATCTTAAGGGTTTGATGCATGACTTGTTTAAATATATAGATATGACTACGTTATTTTATAGGACGTTTTAAAGTAAGGTGAATGGTTTAAGATAACATAGATCATTGAGATGATATAGTCCTCTTGGCGTTATTTTCAGTTATCAGAAAGTGTCAATGAATACAACATGTTCAATGTCACAGGCATGACATTTGCATTAGCGTCAAACATGGGCATCACGCATCACGCCAAGTTCAAACTTCCAAGTTTGGACGGAAAACTTGGACATTTCACCATCCAAGAACAACACAGTACAGTTTATCTTGTGTCAATCTAATTCAAATTATATTACAATTTAATATCTTTTTCATTTTCTGATATTTGTAGCTCGTTGTCAATCTAACAAGTTTTCTACCGAAGGTTTTTAACCTATCAAGGCAAGTCATGGAGAACTGGGTGTTTCTTGAAAAAAAATTAAAAAACTTAAGTAGAGCAATGTGACAGCCTCTTTGGGTTTTTCCATCCCACAATTCGGTATTTTATCAAAATACGCGGTTAACATGACACGCTTTAATTAAAGATAACATCTTTGGGCTGGAAAACTATTAGATTACAATGTAGACCAAAATATCAAAAAATAGAAAAGATGCGAAATTGTAATCTAATTTCACTTAGATTAACCGTGTATCTGCCAATGTATGAAAGCGTCATTTTCACTACAATTGAAACCTATATAGTTTAATGTTACCCACAAATATATTTGCATCGTATAATTTAAGAATTACCTTTGATTTCTTTACACGAAGTTAGCTTTACAAATAATCCTTAAATAGTCGAGTGAGAATAAAGTATTAGTATATTCATTTTGTAAGTCTAAAAGTCCCAATAAATGATATTAAGCTTATTACCTTACGTCTCAGCCAGAATATAGTGTACAATACAAATTCACGTGTTGCACGATTTACAATTACAGTATATTTATTCATTCATGACGCGTTGTCAAGGAGCATACTTGTGTTAACTCGCAAAAACTTGTCACTGTCAGGGTCTTTTTTCGAATAAAAGAATTTAATTATTAGTTTTGGCTTATCTATTTTGATCAATGAATAATCTCATAATATTTTTCTTTTCTATGAATAGGTATATAAGCTTATTATTGTAAAGTATTGTTGCATTATGGATATGCAATCAAACCTTTTTTCGTCAAGTCAGCAACCTTTACCAATAGGTCCAGGTTAGTAGTGTGTCAGGGAAGATAACAATGGTAGAAATGATAACAGTGCATTTAGTAACTTTATGTACAGAACACAAAAACCTCAAAATGCATTTGTAATTCAAAAAGCAGTATTGATATCCTATCGAATTTGAACTTTGCCTATGCAAAAAGAGTTTCATCCAGATTAAAAAAATGTTCCCTCAATTGTGTCAATAAACCAACATTGACACAGTTTTACTAGGGCAGGGGCAATAACTCAAAAAACGTTAATCTAATAATTCAAAGATTTTATCTTAATTTCATAAGGATTAGATAAAAACTGCAGATTCGATGATGTCTACAGGACGAGCTGTTCAATGGATGGACGGACAAGGGTTACGGTAATATACGGCCACATTTCCATGTGGTTTCACAAAAAGCCTACCCAGAATAAACTTAAATATTACCGTATTTATTAGAATTATGACACCCTCAAGTGGTACAAATGCATTCGCTTTCATCTACTCTGTTCTAGTCTTTAGAACATTGACAAGTGCAGACATTTTTATTTTTACATGTTGGGTCGGACGTGAATTATTGGGACAAAAAAAAAAACCCATACAATTCAGAGACAAGTGTTTCATGTTGCTATTTTTGTTGATACCATGTATAAGTTTTCCTACTGTTTCTGGACTTTCGTACTTTAAAGGGATTGTGAAGAGTTCTGATAGTATCAATTTATTTGTGGTTCCTGCAATTCCACTAAAACGTCACATCACTAATCGCGAAGGGCCTTATGTAATACACGCATATTTTGCCATTAGTGACGTCATTAAGTGGATTTCAGGAACCACAGGCGTCTGATTGAAAATTGGAATGGCGCAAATTGATGCTATTATTTATATATTGGTTTTTGTCAATTTTCTAAAGATTTACTAACATGGTGATAATAATTAACAAAATATAACTAAATATAAACCAACTTCAAAATTTTAAGTACCAAATGTTTAGCTTTTTATTGTGTCAATGAAGCCGAACTCTTTCCAGAAAGACTTTTGATCCTATGGACCTATTAAAAATTTGGTCAACTAACGTGATATCAACATACGAAACTACGTGTGGTTCTTACATGAAAATAACAGTTACTATGATTGAACTCTACCTAGGTCCCACTCTAACAGACACTTCCAGTATAACTAAGGATATTAACTCCAATTAAAATTTGATGAGGGATTTTTGGGAACTCGTTTATTAAGTACTTCTATGCAGTTACTACAAATGATTATGGGATGTATTATTAATATTATGGTATTTGTGTATAAATCGAGGGGTGAATTTTATCAACAATCAGATATGAATTTAGTTTTGTCGTCTCTAAATTAAAGCATATATCCGGTGGCTCACATACGACATATTTCACTTCTGATTTTGAATTAAAAACATTAAATTTTACCTAGGTGAAAACTAATTTAAAATTAGGTGATAATCCGTGTAATTTTTAATTAAAAAGAACGGCGAAAAAAAGTTTTTAATTCAAAATTCTTTCCATGCGATGTAGCGAAATATTTCCACTCAAAATCCTTGTTATATCTATGAGACAGGTCATGCAAAAGTTTCATGGCATAACGATTTTTAAACTCGCTAGACGGACCGTCAGAATATATTACATCTTTAACATTTATATCAAATTCAGTATCTTTCACAATTTCATGATATATTTTTGAGACAAATACATACACAGAAGTTTTATCTTTATTTTGAGTATCAGAGTACAGCAAATATGTTTTGCAAATACCAGAATGAAATACAGCTGCGGTAAAAAGTTGTACACTTTGCCTGCTCCACAGGCAGATTGTATCTCATTCTGGTATTCGCAGCTGTATGCCATAGCAAAATCAATTTGCAGTACTCTCTGATTTTTATTATCATTTTTAAATGCCTCTTTCCGTATTCTTTTGAGAAACACATGATCTCTAAACTCAGAAAATTCATTACACAAAATTTCTAATTTCAATTTTAGAGTTGGAATGGAGGCATTTTCGGAGTCGACCATCTTTTTTAGACCCTTACCACCAGTCAATTATTAAATCACTCTCTGCACTGGTGGAAATTAAAGATTTTATTAACTGGCGATCCCAACATTTCTTGCATTTCCCACTCCAGCATGTACATGTTGGTTCCTCAGAATAGCATAAAACTTTAGCCCAAAAAGACAAATCATAGGTAATATGTAGTGCCTTAAGTTTTAGTATAAAATTTTCATGTATACCACACTTGCATTGGTCTAAGGGTGTATCTTTTAACAGTTAAACATTAGGGGGTCGAAGGGAGCAGAATCTTGAAAAACTGACAGTGATTTCAGGGTGGGCTACCTTAAACAAAGTAAATACCTCGCTTAGAAACATTGTGAGATAATATTTGCCTAATTTTGTCTTAACGCCCATCTCTTTAACAGTGACCACATCTCTAAGACCTGGCATATAGTATACTATGTCACTTCTAAAAAAAAAAATCATTGATTATTTTCTCAGATGAACATGGATTTTCATGCAAATTTTCAGACATTTTATTTTGTAATTTCAACCCAACTTCATCTGCAAGATTAAAAACAATAGCTTTTTTTTAAGGGGAGTCAGGTGAGGTTAATCTTGTCTTTGACAAAGCTTTCCCTAAACTTTGTGGCCCTGAAAAGGCATTTGTCTTTACAATCAAAGGAGTAAAGGTTTGTTCTTTCTTCTTTTTTCTAAATTTCTTTACTCTTTCAGATGTTTTTTACATTTCTTCTTCTGTTTGCTGTTTTTCTTTTGTAAACAATATTTTATTCCTAAGAAAAGGATTGGAGAGCAGGCTTACCCCCTATGAAACCTCCCCTCCTTCTGTCATTGAATTCTTTTCTGCTGTTGATAGTTTTTAAGTCTGTCATTTTCTGCTTTCTTTTAGTTTTCGTCTTCAAGTGACTTTCTTTTTCTAAATTTTTTTATTTTTCCAGCACCAGATTTAGTTTTTTTGTCTCCATTTCTGAAACAAATAAGTGAAATTGTTAGCAACTGAGCAATAAGAATTTACTAGTGGGGACTTTTAATGTTTATCATGTTTATGATAATATCCAGCATGGAATATATTTGGTTATATCCTAGGGTGTTGTTCAGAGGGCATTATCTACTGGGCTATAATAAATATATTCTGGGGTTAATAGTTCAGAGAGCATTATTTACTAGGCTATAATAAATATATCCTGGGGTTAATAGTTCAGAGGGCATTATCTACTAGGCTATAATAAATATATCCTGGGGTTAATAGTTCAGAGGGCATTATCTACTAGGCTATAATAAATATATCCTGGGGTTAATAGTTCAGAGGGGATTATCTACTGGGCTATAATAAATATATCCTGGGGTTAATAGTTCAGAGAGCATTATCTACTAGGCTATAATAAATATATCCTGGGGTTAATAGTTCAGAGGGCATTATCTACTGGACTATAATAAATATATCCTGGGGTTAATAGTTCAGAGGGCATTATCTACTGGACTATAATAAATATATCCTGGGGTTAATAGTTCAGAGGGCATTATCTACTAGGCTATAATAAATATATCCTGGGGTTAATAGTTCAGAGGGCATTATCTACTAGGCTATAATAAATATATCCTGGGGTTAATAGTTCAGAGGGCATTATCTCCCACAGTATAACACAATTATGATGCACAACAAGCAAAACATCACACAATAGAGAGAGACTGCTTTATGTATTAAAACAAATCACAAATTTTACAAAATAAGAACCACAAATTGTGCAAGTTTTCTGGCTTTGACCCTCTTTGAACACAAATACAGGATTGGGTTATAGTTTTGTTTAAAAAATTATCAAAGATTAGTGTACTAACGTTTTTTTATAGATGGTTCTTCTGTCACCTTCACAGGACAGTGAAGTCAAGTGAGAAAAGGATTGCGGGATCTCAAAGACCCTTCTAGGCAGCATTGCGTAAATGTAACATACGTAACGTTACGTACGTTACACATTTTAGATTTTGCAGTAAATTAATTTCTAAGTTCTATATGTGATTTTTGATTGTTTTAAGAATAGGAATGAATGTTAGATAGAGAAAATATCATTAGATTGCAGCACTAGTTCTTAATTTGTCCATTCTGAAAAAAAATATTATTTGTATGTTACTTAATATTTTAGGTAATAAAACTGAAAATTTTCATGATTTTCTTATATTTTTATTAGTTTTTTGATTTATAATTGATAAATTAAATCTATAACAGATGTAATGTCATATAAATAGTTAAATCTTATCTATAATTTTTGTCAAGATATTCAATACAACTTTTCATGAGTTTGTCTTCCAAAAATTAAACTGACAGCATGATCGGAATGTCAGATGTTGATCACTTATTTATTACTCAAACACTTGAAAAAAATATTTTTGAAATATGGCAAACTTTTGGTTTCTGCATGGAATCGCCCAAATGCAGTTTTACTGAATTTTAAGCGTATCGGAACAACGTCAAAATGACGTAAATTTATCCCACACGGTGAACTAGACTATCTTACTACAGTACGTTAGCCTAGGCCTGGTATAGATAGTAGTGGTGGGAAATCGGTTGAAAATCATAATCGATCATCGGTTGACATTGGTTTGACCGATTAATAATCGGTTAATTAAAAGATGATGGAAAGATTCATAGAATTTAAACAGTTTTTAGGTCAGGAAATGCTTAAAATAGGTAGCTTCCCGGAGGGAGGTGCTTAACAGAGGTATGATTCACCCAGATACTTGACTGTAATATAACTGCTGTAATCCATCATTTAACTCATAACCCCCTGGTAACCTTGTGCTTTGTACGAGTAATTGAAAATAAAGACATGTATAATTTTGATCATTCTATGACAAACTGGATAATTTGAAAAAATTCTACTAATAATATTGGATGTTCAGACAATTTCAAAAGGGGATAATATTTTCAACAACGGTACTCTACTACTGTTCTGAAACGTGGTCTGTCATATGTTACCCCACGAACACCTGGCTGGATGTGATGCTAGTTATAGCATGTTTCTATAAAATAAATCAAAGGAATGACATGTTTTTCATCATTGTTGTATTTAATGCCAAAATAGTCTTTTTTAGAATGAAGATATATGTAAGTTTTCTGACGAAGTCGGCAGATGGCAGATGCTATATTTAGATTGGATTTGATGGGTCGCCCGTCCTCATTAACTTTAGAAAGCCAAAGCTCATTGTTCCTCCACCAGAGTCCGACACTCCGACAAGACATTTGAGACTTGATATTCGCGAATTGAAAAGCTGGAATGTTTTTATTACGTATGAAGAAACGAAACAATAAATAAATCAATTATCAACATCTATCTTTTGACAGCAAATTTTTAGCTATCCCACTGTGGTGAGTTTCAACGTGAATTTTAATTTTACTTGTGAGTTGGGATTTTGTCGGCGACTGCATTTTCGAATTTACCATTCCGCAGAATTGTATTTTATAAACACTGGTCCTCATATCGATCAAGTGTCGTATGAGATAAATGATATTTCCCAGACTGAAATAATAAACGGTTCCAAATTTTTATTGCAGCCTGCGTGATAAAAACGTGCTTTTTAATTCGCGAATATCAAGTCTCAAATATCTTGTCAGAGTGTCGGACTGTGTCGGAGGAATCATGACACCGAAGCCAAAGTATTTCCATACTTTTGTTTTTGTTTCCCCCCTGGATAGCGACAAATGTGTTTTATGCCTTCTTCCATGTCGCCTGCCATACCAGTCTGCGACTAGACAGTATAGAGTATATTTTTCGGAAGATAATGGATTTGTATTTCAAATATTCTATATCATTTTTTAAACTAACTTCACAAACTTTGCTCTATTACTAGAGGTTACGCCTACATGCCTGTGCCTGTGCTTTCGTAACATTGCTTAACCGCAATGTTACAACTTAAAATTCCTAATGTAAGCACAACAAATATTAATTAGACCTTATAATATGATTAGAGTTGCAACATAAACTGTATTGCGATGGATGATGGAGTCTTATAACCTTGTGAACCACTAAATTACTATGTCCAGAAGTAGTAGCATTGCTGGACCACAGGTCCTTGAAGTTCTGTCAATATTAATAAAATATGGGCAATGTGAAGAAAATATAACATAAGTAAAAAAAATACATTAGTTAAATCAGAATGTCATGAAGATGCCATTAGTTAGAACGTTATGAAGATGTCATTAGTTATGAGAATGTTAAAGATGTCATTAGTGATGAGTATGTATCTCAAGTTGTTTTTATACGCTCACATTTTCAGTTGTATGTATAATTAAAGGTGTAGTTAACATCATTTTCTCTGATTATTTTAAATGCACAAATAATAGCAATAAACAAATAAAGTAAAAAACGTTTGCAGAAAAATGAAAATGATTTCTGGCAACAGATTTATTACTAGAATATCCGTTTTAAAATTTTATTTTTTTAACAGAACTGGAAGGAAATATTCCGGCAGCATATTTATACCAGAATATCCTTCCTATTTTCTGTTAATTACAGGAAATATTATTAGCCACTTCTGTAATTTAACAGATTTTGTCGTAAAATATTTCTGTTATTCAAAGCAAATATTTTACAAGAAATTCTATTATATAACTGAAGGCAGCGTTTAAATTCTAGTAAATCAGCTGCCGGAATTTTTTTGTTAATCGAAGAAAATTTATTTTTTTCACAGTGTAGCTGCATTTCTCATTATATTGCTGGACCAGGGACGACAGGAGAAACTGAAAACAAAAACAGAGACTATGGGTTAGAAAATGGGTTGGGCCTTTTTGTCTCTATCCTTGTAGTCTTCCTATCTTGTATTTTAGAGACAAGGATATATCTCAAGATTTTACACAATCTTGTCTTCATCTTCCACTGACCATTTAAACTAGATCATCACCTTGACCATGATCTTCCACCACATCAGTTTCCTCCAAATGATGCATGATTATTCCCTTGTCATCGCCATTTTTACCAAATACATGACTCACAATACCAGTTTCATTGGCTGCACCCAAATGGCCTGTGGCAACTTGTAGCAAATTTAGCTTATGAGTGCTATTTGGTTGGAGGTTGAAAGAGAGTGCAGCTTTGACGTTGAATGACGTTGAAATGCATGTTTAGACAGGCAATCCCTTTCAACTTTCTGCAATCCTACACCGTCAACCAAAAAGTTATAAGAAATTGAAAGAAGCGTTTCAACCACCTTCCTTGTCGACTTTATAAAACGCATAAACAACAGTGTGATTGAATGATAAGCATTTACATAATATACCAATGGAGAAATGCTTGTACCTCCATTACGCCTCACGCATCAAACCTACCTGTTTATCGTTAAAAATATTTAAAAAAAAAACAACAAAAAACGTAACCTAGTTCTCCGTGCCGACGTCGACCTGGAAGGTATAAAGTTCGTCAAAAATCCATTTGCAAACTATTAAATGAATTGGAAGGTCTTAAAAAAGAAATAATTTTTATTGTCACATTGGGAAGGTACAAAGTTCGGCAAAAGTCAACATGTGGAAACTGTTTTTTGAGGTCGGAGGGACGTATTAAGCAATAATTCCTAGAAGAAATTATTGCCAAAAGGCTAAGCCACGGAGCGACTCATTAATATAGATACCTCGCAAAATATTACTAAAGTTGTGTTTTGCCTTATAATACAGATAAAGGTAATGTAATGCGTATGTCTGCCCCTTATAATGTTTGAATAATGTTACTGTACACTGACACTCCCAGTATTAATTAGGAGATTGGATTGGTAAAATATGTAGTGCAGTTTTTATAGATTCGTGTGTGTCACAGATTTCAATGAACAATATTATCTCCATGGAAACTGTATATTCAAAACGTGTCGTCCCACAGAGCGGATCAAGGAATATGCACTGTTCAACGAATCAAAAGATCATTTACATAAACAGTCGAATATATATCGATATATAGCGGACTGTGTTAACATCTACTATTAATTACCTATACATGTATTTGGAGATTTTTGTGATTCATTGAAATGGAGTTTGAAGTGTATGATAATTACTCTTACGTCTTTCAATTTGAAAGAAACTGGAATGAAAGCTCTTTTAGGGAATATTGTAAGGACAACTGGCATCACCCGCTTATATTTTCGCTGATTTACTTAATATTAATCTTTAGTCTGCAGCGGAGGATGAAACATCGTGAAGAATTCAAGTTAAGAATTCCTCTGACAATGTGGAGCACCATATTAGCTTTGTTCAGTGTAGCTGGAGCTATAAGATCTCTGCCAGAATTTATTGTGGCAGTCAAAGAAAAAGGTTTCCAATATTCAGTGTGTATTCCAGGATATTCCGGATCAGTTCCAGGATTCTGGGGAAGTCTTTTTACAATTTCCAAAGTATTAGAATTTGGAGATACTTTGTTCATAGTGTTACGAAAGAAGACATTAATATTTCTACATTGGTATCACCATATAACTGTTGTGATAAATGTATATCTTATGCATGGGGAACATGCTGCTGCTGGAAAGTGGTATTATGTTATGAACTATGTCGTTCATTCCTTCATGTACTCATATTATGCTCTGAAAGCTATGCAAATCTATGTTCCTAAACAGATTAGTTTATTAATTACTTCTATGCAGTTACTACAAATGATTATGGGATGTATTATTAATATTATGATATTTGTGTATAAATCGAAGGGTGAATTTTGTCAACAATCTGATATGAATTTAGTTTTGTCGTCTCTTATGTATGTTTCATATCTAATATTGTTCGCTGATTTCTTCTGTAAATCTTATATTAGACCGAGGGTTTCAAAACGCATCAAAACTGAGTAAGATATGTATAGAGCGATTTATTTATTGCAGGATGTGCAAAATCTCATTTCATAATTTCATTTTAAATCGTTATAATGAAAAGGGGACTAACCTACAATCTTTGGTTTTTCATTAATTGATTTGTAGAGTTATCGCCTATTATATTGTCAAATTACTTCAATTTTTATTTATAAGGCCTTGTAGCAGTTGTATTGAATTTATCTAATCTATATTCCAATTGAATAGGCTCAAGTTAAGCCTTGTCAGTATCAGCTGGTAAGTAATTATACGACTGTATCACCTTAGGAGATGAATCTGTTAATAAACTAAAGTTTATCAATATCCAAGTGTAGTTTTTAGAGTTTTAAATTCATGCATACCCGTCTGTGTAACTTTATAGTTATAAATTCAAGCATACTTGTATGGGTAATTTTTATAGTTATAAATTCAAGCATACTCGTCTGTGTAATTTTTATAGTTATAAATTCAAGCATACTTGTATGGGTAATTTTTATAGTTATAAATTCAAGCATACCTGTTTGTGTAGTTTTTATAGTTATAAATTCAAGCATACCTGTTTGTGTAGTTTTAGAGTTTTAAATTCATGCATACCCGTCTGTGTAACTTTATAGTTATAAATTCAAGCATACTTGTATGGGTAATTTTTATAGTTATAAATTCAAGCATACCTGTATGGGTAATTTTTATAGTTATAAATTCAAGCATACCTGTTTGTGTAGTTTTTATAGTTATAAATTCAAGCATACCTGTATGGGTAATTTTTATAGTTATAAATTCAAGCATACCTGTATGGGTAATTTTTATAGTTATAAATTCAAGCATACTTTTATGGGTAATTTTTATAGTTATAAATTCAAGCATACCTGTATGGGTAATTTTTTAAGTTATAAATTCAAGCATACCTGTATTGGTAATTTTTTAAGTTATAAATTCAAGCATACCTGTATGGGTAATTTTTTAAGTTATAAATTCAAGCATACCTGTATGGGTAATTTTTTAAGTTATAAATTCAAGCATACCTGTATGGGTAATTTTTTAAGTTATAAATTCAAGCATACCTGTTTGTGTACTTTTTATAGTTATAAATTCAAGCATACCTGTTTGTGTAGTTTTTATAGTTATAAATTCAAGCATATGTTTATGTAATTTTATAGTTATAAGTTCAAGCATACCTGTTTGTGTAGATTAATAGTTATAAATTCAAGCTTAACTGTATGTGTAATTCATCTATCACAACGTAAATATAACTAATTTAAATAAAAATTTCATACTATATTTCAACCCGTTTTCCCCCTGTCAGTGATGCAGGTAAGAGGAGCTGACATTGAAAAAGCTTCTAGTCGTTCGGATGGGACAATTAACCCAAAATTTCCCCTTTCCACGGCGTGGCGTTGTCCGACTTCATTAGCCCAGATGGTGCAGAAAAGTAGGACGTAAAACATTTCATTTCATTTTTGAGCTGTCATTTAAAATTGTGCTCCGTTATAAAGACTTAAAATATTAATTCAAACGTTTTTAATGAATTAAAAGTAGGCTATTGATTTAGTTCAAATGTATATAATATACATATAAATTGTTTTCCTTATGAATCTTTGATTAAAATTTGTTAATATTGTCTACTCAAATCAATTGTAATTCTTTTTATCATTCAATTTTCACATAGAGTGCTTTTGAGATTTTGATTTCAACAGCTGATGATTTGACGAGTCGTATGTTATTAAAGGGATAGTTGCACAATTTTCATTAATAAACAAAATTATACTTGAAAAGGTATCTGAAATAGTATATATGAACGTCTTCTTTTTATCCACTTGATCAACCTAAATTTGTTTCAAAAGTGCCTGTTAAAAAGCGGAGTGTAGTCGTAGTAAGTGTTAAGTATAATATTAGTTTTGGTAAGCTCAGTATTTTAGTAGAAAATACTTCTCTACAGTTTGGCGCTGTTATTACTTAACATATTTTCCAACACCAGCAAAATCATCCGCTAATCCGGAAGCCAGTTAGAAGAACTCACAGTAAAACTCGACCGGATGATGAATACTATTTACTATAGAATTTGATAATTGAATCCCAATCACAGCCGTGCGGAACCGGAAACCGGAGCATCGGATTAACGGTTACTTTTACATAGTAAATATTCCGTTCCCAGTAAAAAGCGTGCGGATATCGGGGTTTCAGGATTATCGACAACCGGATAAACGGGGCTCCACTGTAATCTATAAATGTTAATCTTATACATAGTTTTAGCGTTCAATAAGGAACTGCAGAAACCTATAGTTCAAACTTTAAGATACGGTAAAGGACATATTACTCTAGATTTTGGTCTATAGTTTACATTAACTCGAGCTTTAACTTACAAAGCCTAATAATTATATTAGATATAATTATTAAGATAGTAAACGGACTTGTGTCAACAGTCGATGGAAAGGGTCAAAGTTTGTAGTCCGTAATATTGATGTTGATTAAAGAGATTCTTAAGAGTTTTGGTCTAAAAAAAACTTTTTTATGTGTATCGGGGACGCTGTTAGCTTCGATGTGAACCATTCCAGTGTTACAATTCCACTTTAACTCTGCATTTTATGGTGTCACTATCGCAAAAGATCCTAGAACTACAGGAATTAACCAGAGAAGTCTAATTGAAATTGTGAAAATCGATGCGAGCACTTTATGGGCTAATGAAGACGGGCAACGCCGTGTGCAATGAGGACAATTTAGCCAATACAGCTGCATTAGCCTACCCTTTTTTGAATTACCAGGGATTATCTTGACCACTATTCTTCAAATGTAACAATATACAATATTGATTCAACCATTCTGCGGCATTAGCCTACTCTTTTCGACTTCCAACTGTAGCTCACTGGGCATCGGTTTATTGTCCCATCCGAACGACTAGACGATTTACATCAATCATTTAAGTGAGTATTTCATAATGAAAAGTGGTATCTGAAGTCGAGATGAATAAACATTACTGTCTAGCCCCACATCCGACATTGCAGCTCAGCGTACTGTACGACAAATGGGAAGGTAAACACTAAAAAAAATAAGGGCTTTGACTGATCAATTTTAACAGTTCAGGGGAGGTGACTGATATGATGAAAATATTTTAATTATAATTTTAACAGATCAAGGGAAGGAACTAATAAGGTTATTGTACAAAGCACAAAATTCTTTGTTGTCTATAGGTAACTATATCGTTTCTAATTATCTCCCTTGATATTCATGACCGACCTAATTCTGCTTATGAACTCGAAATCATTCGTTCGTGACTTCAGGTACCGGTATAGTCTAAACGTACATTTTTGACTGATCTTTACAATCGGGTCTGAATGTCTTTGTCTGGTCCTTAGACGGATGTCTGGTCAAGTGAGACAAAGGTGTTGTCTTGAAATATTTCATTGTAAATGTAGTTCAAACACCCTTTTCAAATGTATTATGGCTGGGAATAAAGATAAGGCGGTACGGGTTAATTGCAATTATGACATTATTTGTTCATAGTGAATAACAGGTCACATTTGCTTCCATATTTCATATTTACCCCTTTGATACTGGGATAAACCTGATAGGCTTACTAAATAACGATAATGTGTTGTAATACTTTAAAATAAGATTATGCAGATCAAACAAAAATGAAATAGACTTTGAGCCACACCATAAACCACGTGTTTTTTCGTGATCTGTTTGTGTAGTCTTACATATACAAAGTTTATACGCTTAGATACCTTTCAATATAGATGGGACATAAGGCAGAACGTTAGGATTCGTCGTGACTAGGAATACCCTTATTAGTAATGAAGACAGGGGTCAACGACAGACAGATAAGAAAAGCTGAAAGGACGTGTGGTAGTTTGGAACAAGGCAGAAGAAAAGGAACATAGAGTGTTAAAAGGTCAGAAAGATATAGTCAATGTGGAGAGCAATCAAAGCAATGTGATATACATGTATTGGCAATTGCCCATGGTTGAATGAAAGACATCGTGAAATAGGGAGTGTTAAGTGCATGTGTGACATTTCTGTCGTGGCTTGTTTGAGGTGCGATCTACCATCTACCCTCTACCATGAATATTGAAGTGTATAACTACACCTATGTGTTTGATTTTGAAAAACAATGGAACGAAACTGCTTTCAAGGAATACTGCAAGCGAAGGATAATGGACCCAGTGTATTATTCAATGGTGTACTTAACTGTGATTTTTGGCCTCAAGCGATACATGAAACACCGTGTTGAATTCGATTTAAGACAATTGTTAGCTATATGGAGTACCATATTAGCTTTATTCAGTGTAGCAGGATCCATAAGATCTCTTCCAGAACTTATTGTGTCCGTCAAGAATAAAAGTTTCCAATATTCAGTGTGTATTCCAGCATATTCCGGACCAGTTCCAGGATTTTGGGGAAGTGTGTTCACTTTGTCAAAAGTCTATGAGTTAGGTGATACCATTTTTATCGTTTTACGGAAGAAGCCCTTGGTATTTTTACATTGGTATCACCATATTACAGTAATGCTCTTTACATGGCATAGTTATAGTGAACATGCAGCGGCTGCTCGTTGGTTCTACACCATGAACTTCGTCGTCCATTCCTTCATGTACTCATACTATGCTCTAAAAGCAATGCAAATCTATGTTCCTAAACAGATTAGTTTATTAATTACTTCTATGCAGTTACTACAAATGATTATGGGATGTATTATTAATATTATGGTATTTGTGTACAAGTTAAAAGGTGAATTTTGTCAACAATCTAATACTAATTTAATGTTATCTTCATTCATATATATTACATATTTCATATTATTCATAAATTTCTTTTATAAATCTTATTTAGTACCAAAATCAAAAACACTAAAGCAAAAGTAAAGCCATCTTCAAAATTGCTTCTAAAACAATGATTCATATAGATGAATTTGGTAACATTCTGTTTACCACGATATTAATATGCATCATGATTTATATTCGTTCAAGTTTGAACACGTATTAGTTATATTGTTAGGCTTTTGTTGTTGTTTTTGTCTGTTCGCTTGTTTGTATTTGCAATAAATAAACTTTTCATGTTTTTAGCTTAATTAATATGGTGGTGGTATTTTCCTCAATTCTCATTTTACTCATACTAGGAAGAGTAAAGCAAGACTGCCTTTATACTTCTAGTATATGGTCTTATGCCCTGTAATTTTTGGGTGGGGTTATCTCAACTCTACAGATGCAATTGTGTCAAAAGTTAGCGTTTATGCCCGGTCAAGTGTGACCGGTCCTGTCAGTCAATTTCCTAATTAGGTCAGCGAATGGCTGTTGTCTAGCCGACACTGACTGACATGTGGTCTGAATAGGCCGGCCCGAGGTCAGCGAATTACATTGTGTACTGAACAAGATTGTAAATCTGGTCGAAATGGGACCGACGGACTCGTTTTTATCTAATGCCGCTTTTTCATTAAGTCGTTTTGTGGCATGTTGGAAAAGTTCGTTTGGACCCCAAGTTCCCGGGTTTATCCGGTAAGTGCTCAGTCTAAAACTGAGGTTCTGAGTACGGAACGCGTTTGGAATTGAGTTGGTGTCGGACATATTTATTGTCTGGGTATGATTTGGGACGGCAATACTAAGTTGGCCGATCAGGTAGGGTTTCAGGGTCGTCTAATATCCTGACATCACAGAACAATGTCAGGCTCTGTTGGACAGGAACTTTTTTTCTCCAGTCGGGAATTAGTCACTCTGAACGCAAAAGTCTCGAATATGCATTATTATTACGTCTTTAGTTCGAAACGAAAAATGTAAACGTTACCTTAAATATGTAATAACTGCATAAGCCAACAAATAGCAACATTATAGACGTTGCCCTGTGCTCAGATATGGTTTATATATGTACATATTAATTCTTTTGAACAATCAAGGGGGCTGTGTATAAACGTGTTGCTGAGATAACACTGTTAATAAAATGGAGAATGACCCTTCATGACGTTATGTGTCAAAATATTTATGGTTGCATGATTGTATTATAGCATGATCCATTTGACAACGCCCCCTTTCCACATACACACAAAACAATACGTCCATGTGACAACAATATGTGAAAAACTGTTTTCTAGGATTGCACTCTAGATTAAAAACAAGACCCTCAAGAATACTTCTGCATCATTCAAATAATCTGCAAGCATATTTCACACAAGGGTGGCATCCTTCCATCAGATTTGAATCAAGCGATTTATCTTAAAAGTTACATATCCTTGTTTGAAAGAAACTTTGTAATTAGTGCTAGTCATATTATCTCAAATCTCCGTCTTTGATTGAATAATATATCGCGATCAGACCTGTTTACGATATAATTTATACATTATACATGTAATTAAATTTCATATATTATGATTAAAATTTAAATATAACAGTACAGGTATTTGATATACGGTACTTAATCAATTGATCCAAAACAATTCATGTTGGCCAATGACTGTCTTGGATATAGTTATTTCAAATTATCATGCTTCGGCCTGTAGTTTTTTACATTTATTCCACCTCGCTTCTCTCCGAACAATTTCAACTCAAATTTGACTTAAAATTTCCCTTTGTAGAAACATTTTCACACTATGATAATATATGCCCATTTTTTATCGATACAAAGTCCGTCAGTTGCTATCAATACTAGTTTGAAGGTGACATTCTTGAATCGATTTTTTGTCTGCTTCAAAAAAAAAATCTTCATTTTATTCTTTCATGAAAGTAAAATCCCCCTAGGGCATATAAACACCACCTTAATGCAGTTTCTCATGTTGAAGCTGTGACTAAATGAGGCGACACCGTGTGCATTGTCATTGTAGAGTTCACTCACTGACAATATAACACACTATCGGCTTGAACGTGGAGTTAAAGGTCCCTTTCAAGATAACGTACAGGCAGGCCTATATATCTCTCGTGAACTAAGCCAATGAAAATCTTTCTAATACTATCGTACCATACCTGTGACCTACACACTACTCGTCATTCAACTATACTTGAAATACTGGGTTACACTGTGGCGGTGATGATTGTGCAGTCGGCATAATATTCGAGTCAAGAGCAATGAATTCTTCTCTTGGCTTGCACGTAGCTGCCCATAACTATTCTTATGTGTTCGAATTCGAAAAGAATTGGGATGAACCATGGTTTTTGGAGTATTTAAAGGAACGATGGACAGACAGTTTTATATATGCTGCAGTATATGTTGTGATCATTTTCAGTGTTCAGCATTTTATGAAGAGCCGGCGAGAGTACGATTTACGACAAGTATTAGCGGTATGGAGTGGGATACTTGCTTTATTTAGTATTTCCGGTTCTCTTAGAACACTTCCAGAGCTCGTATCTTCTATTAATAATTACAGTTTTCAATATTCAGTGTGTGTGCCAAGTTATATTCTTCAGGGCGTACCACGTGTTTGGGTCTTCCTGTTCACTATATCGAAAGTTTACGAGTTAGGAGATACGATATTTATAGTGTTAAGAAAGAAACCTCTAGTATTCCTACATTGGTATCATCATGTAACCGTTTTGATATATTCCTGGTACACGTATACAGACCACACCGCGGCTGGCCGCTGGTTTATTGGTATGAACTATGTAGTCCATTCTGTTATGTATACATACTATGCTTTAAAAGCTATGCAAATCCACGTGCCGAAACAGATCAATTTAGTCATCACCGGTATGCAGTTATCCCAAATGGTTATGGGGTGTGTTATAAATTTAATGGTATATATATACAAACAAAGAGGAGACTTTTGTCAACAAACATACACGAACTTAGCATTTTCAACATTAATGTATTTCAGTTATTTTGTATTATTTGCCCGATTCTTCCATAAAACATACATAGTACCAAAATCTAGAAAATCCAAACAACACTAAGTTATTTCATGTGCAAGTTTAAAACATTTTTTTGTTCTTGTGGACTTTTGTGAGTGAGTGCTCTGTGGACCATTTAGAATTTGTCACTTTATTAATTTTGATGGTTTATAGTCTTTGATAGTGCTAGTTTTAGTCTTTTATTGAGATTTTCAATGAATGTGTATAAATGATATGTTCTGTCAAATTTGTTCCTAATAAAGCTTAGTTTGCCTTGGAATTCCAAGAATACCTTGGGTGTATCTTACTCGAGTTTCTTACTTGAAGTTCACCCAAGGGATTTTTGTCTCTATCTCATACTAGTACAGGCAACGATGGCATCCCATCCAGTTTGACCTTGAGAGAAGGACTAAATCTCAAAGACCAAACTAAGCTTTATGGGGTATTAAATCATACTCAAGTTGTTACTTTTTTATTGCACGAGTTTCATATTGATAAATTTGAGCTTTTGGGTGATGTAAAATACCTCGATAAAACCTAATATTGATTTGAATAGATGTTAAAATTTCAATAGATATTATTTCCATCAAAATATCATGTAACGTATGATAATGTTTCTTTACTGCAAGTCGACACGGCACAGTAGTTTGGATCCAACTACGTAGTCCTAAACAGCATAGTTAAAAATAATCTAATCGTACAATACTATGAACTCTTAGGTTACCCAGTGTCAACCAATCTTACATGTTTTAGTAAGTTTTCCAAGACCAAGAAAAATGTAAAAATAACATTAACAGCGCCTTGTATGTGACGTTACCAGCCTTTTCAGTCCATTTACATTATTCTGGTAGTGACGTCACAAATGTATGTAAATTTCAACTTTAATGCATAATAATATGTTTCAGAATTTCTTTAAAAAGTCGATTGAATTTAATGTTTAAGCGAGCAGCTGTTGTAATGAAAGTGCCTTTAGAATTAATTGAAGTATAAAAAAAGATTTGCAAATTGTCAGTTTAAATTGCAAAGTAAAATAGATTTAATGGCGTTTAAACGTGCAGTCACAAAGGTCAGTACACGATGCGGACAAGGTTCATTTTTCTTCCGTATCGATAATACCACCCCACCCACCCCACTGGACCTTTAACTCATCTATTCGCACCCGATATAAACGCACTTCGGTATAAACGTACCCACATAGTTATCTCTTGGATATCGTCGTATTGTTAGTCAAAGTACATGATTATGATATCGAAAGTCGATTTATTTTGTTATCTTTTCATATAAATCTTTACGAAATGAATATCAGCCATTGTCACATCTGGTTTACAGGAATAATGAGCATGGTCTGCTTTGCTAGTCACTTTCGGCATAGTGATTCTTTTTAGTGAAGATCAAATTAAAACTTTGAAATTATGATAGCTTATAAGATAGAAGCGTAGAATACACCATTAAATAAATGAGAACTTTTTGTAGTTTTGAGTAATTAAGGATAATTGAGGTACTTATGTAGTTTTTGCATTTACTTTATAGCAGGGTAATCCAACTCAAAGAGTCGAGCAGAATTTACCAAAATCTAATATCAGAATATGGAGTAGAGTTTTAAGACTGTGGCCCCAGGAGCTAAACTTTGACAATAAGAGCTAACGCAAGACTCTTTGAGCTAATTAGCTGGTCGAGGCATTGAAGGCTAACCTACCGCTTGAAATATATTATGTAAAATGAACATAAGACATAAGAGATGAGAACAAAATAAATAGCCAGACCTCGTTTTATACCTTGACTGCAATAGTCACCTTTCTTTTGTCACGGAAGTATGTAAATGCAACGATTTGATTGGATTATACGCTAGTGAATATATCTAATCAGAGGCCTCAACAGAAAGTCTGTAAATACTAAGCCATATTTACAGTCCTTCTGTGGAGGGTTCTGATTGGCTGTATTCTCTGGCGTACAGTCCAATCAAATCGTGGCACTAAGAGGTAGTCCGTAATAGCTTGACACCATGACGATGAGACAAGTCCAAACAAAAAGTTTTGAGATAATTTCATAGTCATTGTATAACAGAATTTTTGCTATTCTTATTTGATAGCGTCTTTCACCAGTTTTTTTTTTTTGTACATTAGTCAGTTCAGTGCATTATTATTTTACTTTTTAAATTATTACTTACATAGAATATTTACTATCCGTTTTTTTTTTCATTCATTGAAATTGTCAAAAAAAAAAGTCTGAATAAAAGACGTATCTTCATGCAAAGTTATACGCACATTGCAAATTCATAAATTATTCTAAAATTTTTTCTCATTAAAAATATAAGTGTATATGAATTGTGCAACAAGTTTAAAATGAAGAACTAGGTTTTTATTATTAAGACTATTAGTTTTGATGAGTTGTACATCAAGAACTAGGATTCATTTTTAGAATATAAGTCAGATATCTAAAAATGAAGAACTAGGTTTTTGATCATTAACAAATTTATATTGATGAGTTATACAACGGATCACAGAAGTGGGATTTAATTTCCAAGAATATTAGTAGTGATGAGTTAGTTGTACAATATGATTTGAATGGAGAACAATAGTTTTATTATTAAGAATGAGTGCGAATGAGTAACAAGAATGATGAGTTGTATAAATTGAAGTGCAAGGTTTTTTATATTACGAGTAGCAAGGTTTTTTTCACCAAAAACGTTGTGCGAGAACCTGTGCCTTAAAGTAACCCCACCCATTATTAATCTAGTTAAATTAATATGAATCATCCGAGTATACTTTGATAATTCGTAATCGTAGTTATCTTATCTGTAAATTGATATTTGCAGTGTTTAAAGTATCAACCGCTTGTTATACTTGTTATTTAGTAACAGAATTTACTTGTTTATTTGTTACATTGAACTATCTTAACCTAATACACATTCGTGAGTTCAATTTAAAATATATGGTGTCTATGGTGGTAATATCATCGAATGTTTTTGTTATTATTGCATCTCTTTAGAGTGCCTCTACAACGCCTCAAGAATTATTTTGTATGTCACATAAGGCATTATTTAATGTTACCCGGTGCCTTACTCATTACTTTTTATTGAAAACATTTTGTTTCTGTTTAAGAGAAACGAAAGAACAATATTTGCAAAAGTTGTTGTCCAATTTTTGATTTATTAAATTTGATTTTTTGTGACATTCGTATTACTTCTTTAACACCATTCATGAAAGAACATGTCAAACCGGACCCATAGGGCAATCTTTTTGGGCACCAAATTGCAAAATACGTGGGAGCTTGTGTCCATGAGACATTAAAAAATTCTTGCATTTGTCGATTTCGATTCTAAATGCATCTTTATTTATCGTTATCATAGTACAACACAGAAGATCTATACCTAAAGTTGCTTTGTGGATGAAAGTGTTTGGACAGAACTATCTACTCAGTGGTTACTGGAGATTCTAGTGTTACCTGCTTGCATTTGAAAGGGAAACATGACTCGTCGGGTAATTAGCCCCAAGTGATCCCACTTAAATCTCAACTCCCACCGTGTCATAGATGACGATTCTATTTCTGAAGATTATCTTTGCATGATATTTTGCGAGTCATTATGAACCGCTTTGCGATCGAATATTTAAAATTTATCACGACGATCTGCGAATCAATTCATATATATCTCAAGACAATTTACTGCCAAATAACTCTCAGTGGTTTCTAGAACCCAGAGAAACTAACGTCAATTTGAAATGTATAAATGGAACATTTAAAATTGCTACCGAATGTTTATGAAACTTGATCAGCCAAAACTGAAATTTCTGTCAATCAGTAGATCTGAAAATTTCTGTCAATCAGTAGATTTGAACATTGCTGTCAATAAGTAGATCTGAAATTGTTGCCTGTCGTTCACCGTGACGCAACTTATGGTTCACTTTACTCTTTCGGTGTCAATGGTTAAGATTAAGATTATTGAACTTAGTATAGCGTTCATAACTATGATCAATATACGTAGTTAGATTATTGATAGTGGGTTGTTAGAAACGGACCTCCACCAATGCAAATGGCCCTTAATTTTTAGATCAATAAAAATATATTTGCCTCAGGTACATTATGATATTTTTTCAGACAAAAATAAAGTTTTCCGTGCGTATTGTACCTTTGTTCCGTTTTGCTAGAAATCTCTCGTGTTGGTGTTTTAGGTGTAGTCAGTGACCGAGAAAAAGTATTCAATCTGTCTAAAGACGACTAAAATAGAAGACTGTCTTAACAACCCTAATATGCGATATCTTTCAAGGATAAATAGAAAGAACAAGGTCCAATATCGAAGCATAACTTTTTTCATTTTGAAATTTGTTGAATAGATATGAATGTTTTATAACTTATCTTGTTCTAGTGTTATGATAATTCCCATTCAACTATATTCAAGAGAGTACTATTCGCTAACATCCAAATATTCATCAGATACCCTGGTCAGCTTTTCAAAAAGATTGCGATTAAAACATAGTGTACAAACACTAGTCTTCCGATAAATGTTCATCGTACATTAATATAAGGAATCGATTTGTAAAAATTATGGTTATTGGTCTCTTCTCCTCGTCGGTAGCGTGAAATGAGCTCTTTAATTATGTATTTTTCTGTAGACTACTTTAGGTGATAAAAAATATGACAAACATATTTTGAGATGAGATGATTTATTTTCTAATATAAAGTAATGTAGAATACACAAAGTTGGATAATATAAACACTATCGGTCCCAATGCAGTCTACTCCAATCTTCACCCATAATACTTATTCAACAGTGTAGGCATCTACTGGCTTTTTACCTTGAGAAATTAATTCGTCCAGATAATCAAATGGGTCGATAACCTAAAAACAGTAGATGATAAGTTAGATAAAAAAAAAAAATAGTGTTAACGTCATGGTCGGGGTTCAAGTAACCTAAAATCTTGAACCATGATTTCCAGGACAATGACCAAGTTATCAAGATCATGTGTCGTTCTGTGTCTTGTCTTTATCCGTCAATGAAATGTGTAAGGGCAATTGGACGAAAGAATTTCTATGCCATTTAAATCAAGTGCATGTTTAAGTAAACTCGATATTATGATCATTTCATCATTGAGCATTTATTTCACTGGAATTCAAATCTACTTCCACAAGAATTTATATAGCAATAAGTATTAATCAAGCAATATTAGCATAATTTCAATTTATAGGTTACGAAACTGACGTGATGTTTATTTTTGAAATGAGCTACGGGTAGGCCGAACTAATTTCAAATTTGAAAATACCAACCTGATTGTCAATGATCTTGAAGTTGTTTTTGAATCGACTATTGGTGATAATCGAAGCTACAGTTCCATCTACTGGCCTCAATTCTCCGGTCTAAAATAATTATAATGGTTTGTGTTAGCCCTAATAATTTATCATTTCAACATTTTAAACCTATGCATATCTGGATAGTCAGGAACCAGCCTTATTTAACTAAATTGGGCGAGAGTACCTCCACTGTCCATTATAATTGATCTTTAGTATGTAACCAGATATTGAGCTCTGCTTTAATAGCAATCTTTCCTGTAATTCAAGATGCAGTTCTAGGAGCCATACTTGTTACAGAGAATATAAAGTGGAAACGAATCTGCCTTGTCAAATGCAATCTCATCAAAAAACTGTCATTGTGTCAACTCAAGTTCGGTGTTAAAACATTAATTGGCGCAGTCTAGTGTTATGGAAACACTTATTGACCTTACATTTGCTAAAGGACCAACATGCTATTAGATTGCAGGTTAACAGTTTAAAGTCATATTATGAGAATACACTTTATAACTTGTAGAATCATTTGAATGAGACGATAATTTGCATACATTGATCTTTACATTGTTACATAAACCATAAAATTAATGACAGTAGTAGACATTCAAAGTCAAAATGTATTCCATAATCTTCTGTAAAGTCAAAAGGTAATTTATGATCCTTCGTGTCGAGGACGCCCTTCTTTGCTGATACTACTGTTTCTTAAGTATCTCAACAGTTCAAAGTCCAAAGTTTCAACAGTCAAGAGCATGTTCTAAATTCATAATTTTATTATTTTGTAAAAAGGGGGGCTACTCCGCATTAAAACTAGTTAATTATACTTACCGTAATATATTACAAACACCAAGTTTAAAGTTATACTTACCATTGCTTACATTCAGTTTAAAGTTATACTTACCATTGCTTACATTCAGTTTAAAGTTATACTTACCACTGCTTACATTCAGTTTAAAGTTATACTTACCGGAAATACATTTCTAACATCAATTTTAAGGTATACTTACCGGGAATATATTTCTGACATCAATTATATACTTACCGGAAATACATTTCTAACATCAAGTTTAAAGTAATTTTCACAGCCTGGTATATCACCCTGATATTGGAGTATAGCTGGAGGACATTGTTTTTCAGGAAGTTTGTAAAGTCTATAGGTGGCTGATAAAAACCTAGCATCACCTAAAACAAGGTTCAGTCTTAATAAAAATTAAACCAACACCTAGTCCATTATCTAAATCAAAGTCGAATGTCACTGTCTAAGACGAAAAGCAGACAAGCTTAAAGGTTGATAAAGGACATATATTTCAAAGTTTGTTTAAGTCAAACATTGGCATGGAAACTGAAATCTGTGTCAAAATTATATTCCAACTTTACTACATGTATACTGTGTTAAAGAAGCTTACCGAGTAAATCCTTGAATTTCTGATTACAGATGGGTACTGGTGCCACTTCTACCAATCTAGGTTGTGAAAAACCAACCTCCTTTGCCAAATCAAACAGGATCTTCCACCATAATGTACCAGCTATACACTGGCCTACAAGAAAAAATGAAAGAATGTTAGAACAGTTCCAGGGTGAAGGATTTTGAGTGCTATTCATTCCACAAAAATATTATCTTCAGTTATCCAGATGACCAGAATTTTTATGGGCATACATAAGTTATATCAAAACTGATATTCATGTGGTTTCCTAGTTACTTGCTAGTTTTGCAATAATAACTCCTCATATATTCGTCTATGTTCTCAATTAATATTATTACCCCATAAATACTGATTCTTGCGAACTTCTTCTGATAAAACCATATTACAATAGACATCAGTAAAATATAATTCCCCACCAAACTGAAATACAATAAGTACATAAATACAGAAATATTGGTAGAAAGTCAACATTTGCCTTCTCATCCTAAATTCAAGTCGAAGGGATATGCCTGGTTTAAGGAAAATGACAGCCTATCTAAACACATAACGTAGGTTAATTCCATGCAACCAGCATCACTAACAGTAAACTGTTGGTATTTTTAAGACCTTTTCCTGGAATAATGAAAAATCTATATTCTGCCTTTTAGAGAACGTGTAAGAATCAGTACCAAGTCAGAAACCTAAAAACTCTATGACCTATCTTGATAAGGTAATACAGACCTTGAGAACACGATAGGCTTCTGCTAAAACTGCTTTCTTATCTGGTGTTAGGTTGATCACTCCATTAGATCTGAAACAAAACATAGAATAGTTTAGAAACTGCCACTTGGAGTGATGTAAAATACTCAAATAATATATAACTTTTGTGATCAGTTCCTTCCCTTGAACTGTTAAAATTATATCAAAATACTTTTCATCAGTCACCTCCCTTGAACTATTAAAATTGATCAGTCAGTGACTTCTACCTTTAATGTGTCTTGTATTGAACATCAAAACTCATTAACCCAAATCCACTTAGTCTACGGCGCCAATCATTTAATGCCACTGTTCACAGTTGTTACATGCAGAAAAAAAACATGAAACTGGATAAAATAAGTAACATGTAAAATATTTGTCATCAAAACATAATCTTACAGTACTTACACTAAAACATCTTGTGATTCAGGGCCAATACCAATTTCATGTAATTTCTCAACAAATCCCAATTTAAATTCAACATTGGCCTTGTCTTGTTTATATTTATCTTTATGGTAATCTATATAACTATTGGCTGTCTTAACCTGAAGAGTAAAAACAGAAATTGGATAATAAATACATTATTTTGTTCTTGCAATGGTTGTCCTGTTATAAAAAATAGTGATATCTCACCACCACGAATTCTTATATTAAGGTTGTAGATTTTTACACAACAATGAGGAATAATCGGATATAAGAAATAAATGTCCCGAGTATTTCTGGGGCTGAGATAAAAATGGCCCCAACGAAGTTTTTTGGGAGGTGTCATTAAACATAGATAAAGAATTTATTATATACCGGCATATAGAATTGTCAGTTAGGTTTATCGTCTAAGGAAATATCTTACGATCGACTGTTTAACGTAGCATCTATTGTCTATATGTTGGAGAGCTCAAAACGAGGAAGAATAACGTGAGATGATTCCATAGATATCGACATACGACATGATCGTCTGGCATGATGCATATAAAAAAAATGAAAGGATGCTACTATGCTACTTTAATTTAATTCAATTAATTTTAATTAACTATGCTATAGGTTATCGCCATTCTTTCGAATAAAGGCCAATTTTTTTATTCAAATATAGAGATTTTTCCTTTTTCCGGTCCAGAGTTCAAATTGAAACGTTATGTATAGTTTAATCTGATAATCAGAAGACTTAATGAAGACACTGTGCACAGGATCATCCAACGGAATCTGTGTTATCACTTACCAAATCTTCAGTCATATCAACACCAATAACTTGACCATTAGGACCAAGTAAACTACTGATAATAAACGATTCTCTTCCAGATCCACTGCCAAGATCTACCACTTTCAATCCTTCTAATTTCTCTGGTACTGCCACACCACAACCATAAAATCTGTAATCGAAATGACTTGGAAACTGATCGCACAAGCATAACATACTTGTCCAAAGCCCTATGATTTTGTCGTCCTATTTGAACTAGTAAGGGTATTAACTATAATGAATTTTATGGCTGATAAAAAAGGTTCCTAAATCTTGACTGTGTAGTGATCTAGTGTTTTCTTCATGAAGTTTGTCTGTTTTATGATGCAGTTTGTCATTGTCGTGCGCCTTCCGAAATATTAGGCTATATTAAGAAACATTGGAAATGGCATGACTGTCCAGACACTGACCTCTTGGTAACCTCTGGATGAACAAGTGACAGAGCTTCTTTAATCTGCTCTGCTAGTGTACCACTATAACCATATTTATGTTCTGTACCAGACTGAGACCAGGCGTTATAAATATCCTTCACTGTATTTAATGTACAGGCGCTCATATTGATGCGATGAATCTACCAAATTTTCTATTTCTGAAATGAAACGGTTAATACTGAATAAGCTTATATACCGTAAAATGACACAAAACGAGTCCTCTTCGCTTCGCAAGATGTAGGCTAATTCGTTAAACCTTGACTCGTATTAAATATTATAGGTGTTGGATTAAAGGGACAGATGCGCCATTTTGAGAATTGATTTGAATTTTGAAAATGAGTAAATAGTCTCCAGAAGTACTAGAAATGTACGAAAATCGCATAATACATTCAAAAGTATCTCAAACTTGGAATTTTACTCACATGTTATGTCTTTTCTATATAACACAGAGTAGACCTATCTTAAAATGACGAGTCATCGTTTTAAATTCAAACTCGGATAATTCTGGACACACATGGATATAAAGGCTCAAATTTCGACGGTAAACAGTGATCACTATTACATATTCCGTTTCTGAGACTAAAGTATGGTTGGTCAAAAAGAATGGCGTCTATACCTTTAAAAAGCGCGATTCTGATGTCTCAAATATGCTTTGTTAAAGGTTTAAATTACTAACTACAATTACAAAGCAACCTTAAAGCACTAAAATATGTTTTTAAGCGTGTTATACCGTTATTGTTATATTGAAGAAATAGCAATGTTGTCTATTTCTATTTGGTTTTTCACACACTCTCCTGGTGACCAATGAACAATGACCATCTATTCCCCATAAAAGACAAGCTTATCTGTGACTTGATCAGAACGTCCAAATAAAAAAGGGGGTCCATTAAAACCACATAGTTAAATACCCGATTAAAATCAGGGATGTGGTTCAGTGATGAAAATATGAAAGAGGGTTTAATAACGTCCAATGAGTGAATAAGATGTCACTGTGAGATAAGATGTTCAAAGTTTTGTACAATTTTGATATTTTTGGGTATATCAAGGGCAATAATTCAGTTAACAGTCCCCCTCCTCTCCATGGCATAGTTTTGGACTAATACAAATGTGATTCAGATCAAATCAGGTATTAATTAAAGTTTCTGTCTGAATATTTCCTACACCAGCCTATATTCTTGAAGGATATGATTTTAGCAAATCGCAAAAAAGCTCAGAATGTCACCTCCCGGTAACCCTCTCATTCCTAAATACATCAGGAATTTAAAAAAAAATACATTCTACACTATCTTACTGTCAGCTTATATAGAACACAGTGTGCCAGGGTGTAAATACTCATGCCTACAGGCACTATAGTATACACGTGAATTTTTCACTTAAACATGGAGCGAATGAACATGTTCACGAAAACAACGTTGACATCATCTCACTCAAGAATGCAGGCATTGATACAGGCAATCGGAGGCCAGCTCTGAGAGAAACTTAACTACAATTCATGTTCAGGACCACTTTCGATTTCACAAACATCCTGTACAAACAGCTTTTATCTGTATCCGAGCAAATATATATCCTCTACAAGCTACCCTCACATGCTAAATCTTCCTACTTTTCTCCGATTGTTGGTGTTTGATGGCAGGAAATGGCTTAAAATTCTCAATATCATTCGAGACTCAAATTTAAACATAGACTTAAGGAAATTCCCTAAACAAGTTAGACATTAACTCAATATAACTTCATAACGCAATGTTTAAATAGGATCAATAAATTTGACTATAGTTTGTAAATGTCTTAGTGACATAATAACACAGGTTTATATATTATTTGATCATACCCTTGTTTTTATTTTTTCTTTAAATGTGCTTACCTTATGGGTATAAGTAACGAATCCTTGTGTAAGTTGCTTCTATGCTAGGGTAGCCGCTCTTTTGATCCCAATTTCTGCTCACCCGCTGACGGTTATAAATAGAAATAGCTCAGAAGGGTACGCTTTAAGTTTAAACCTATTTTACTTTTACTATATTACTGACCTATTTTATAACAATTATTATACAGAATCTGTTATATTCATGACCTAGTCCGAAACATATTCCTCTATTCCGGTCTCTGAGCACACCAGCCAACAAATATCAAAATAGCTACCAAAGGCTGGAGTTGGGGCAGTTTTTTCGGTCTAATTCATAACCCAAACTTGTTTTCTTTGAGATAGTACATCTTATCTACGGTCCGGACTTTTTCGTCACATTAGATATACTGTCTGTCTACAATTATAACAGAATCACATTCACAAATTATTTCTGTATGAATTTTGATATCAAATTCAAAACGCAATAGTAGGCCTAGGAGTCTTCGATTGTATTTGGGTTTAAAACTAACCATTGAAAAAAATGATGTTATTTTCAATTATGATTTAAAGTAGCACCTTCACTATCCATTCGACCAATCTTACCTTAGTTTCAGAAACAGGAATGTTTTTTTTAGCTTACATAATCAGTTTCAGTGTTCACAGCTCATAGTCGAAATTTGAGCCTTCAAATTCATGTGTATCCATAATTATTCACATGGGATCAAGTTAAAAATTCGACTCGAATTTTAGTGAGATTATGCCTTATATAGACCACATATTATATAGA